AACAGTGGATTTTTAGTTCTATACTTTTGTATTAGTATCTCGTGAATCATATTTGTCGTAATATGAGTTCTTTTTTCAGTGTGAGATTACGGTGAAATCCCACCTTAATGTCGTTTCTTGTTTTATTTCTCTGACCCACACTTTATGGAATCATATAAATGTATTCTTTTATATTCTGAGTATATCTTCAAGGAGTTTTTCACTGCTTGGGATTATGTTAGACATTATATTGTTTACCGTGATACTTTGATTACTGAAATCTAACGTAATTTCGATTACAAAGAGAGATAAATGGTGGTTAGAAGTGGAATCTAGGACGTGCGTTTTGTCCTACTCGGAACTCGTTAGCTGGACGCACCTGCATCACAGAGTTGATGTCGGCCCTAGGATTCGAACCTATTACTGTGCGCTTTGAACGTCATCGCATTATCCATTGGATACAGAATCCAGATAGCCACTGGCTTGTGCAATGATTTGAATTTTGAGTCATTTTTATTTGACTCATCAGTCCTAAACATCACCGGGAAGTTTCAAACAACTAATACAAACGGAATCATTTCCATTGTTTCACGAGTGTATCGGGTCAAACAATTGAATTTCATAAGTGTATTTTGAAATTATTTAGTGTATAATTTTAATTGTGTGAGATTTTGACTTACAAATATTTGCCAATGTAAATAGTTACATATATGTTATTTAAACCAGTTGTAAACTATGAGAATTTCTACTGCTAATTGGTTGTTTTTTAGTCTTTGTTCGATAACATAATGAAACATTATTTTTATATTTGTTAATAACGTTTAAATATTTGTAAACAGATCATTTCAGTGATCGAATAGATTCGTATCACCAGATCTTTCCGTTTAATTCACTTGGAATAAAATGTAATTTCGTCCTATTGTGAAACTCCTCGGCAGTGCGCATCCACGACCTCGCCCCTTGCGAGGTTCGAACCCAGGACCTACTGTAATTTAATGAAAAATGTAACCATTAATCTAATTAAGTTCACTATCGACAGTCGACTGCTAAATCTATGTTTCGTGAAGAATTTTATTTTTAAACAAGTTTTACTGATGTAGTATTGAAAAAAACCATTTGTTTTAACTTTCAACTCTTTACGAGTGTGCATCCATATGCTCATATACGACCAAACATTTTAGGTCTCATAACAAGGGTAATATCTTTGATTCATTGGGTTACAATTTAATTGTTCATATTTTAAACTTCAGTTCACTCATAATGTCTCAATGGAATCAATAAATTAAGGTCTCATTTTAACTCATGGCTTTCTATAAAAGCCCCAAAAAATGTAACTCAAGGTTTGTTTCTAGTGAAAACTTAAATACTGTTTACTTGAGTAAAGTATTGACTGAGTACACTATTAGTCGATTTTCTTATAATCATCCTTAAAAGTAACGAATTAGAAAGCATCACTAAGCAAATGAGTTATGTTGATGACATATTCATAATGTCTGATCTGAGATTTAATGTCCAGGATGTCCTCAGTTAGGATAAGATGAATTCCAAAGTAGGTCGATATAGTATAATAACAATTATAATGAGAACAAGTATTATGATTCAAGGAGACAAAATGGAAAATCGTTTGAAGGAATTCTGCAATTCAAGATCAAGAGTACGATAAATAGTGAATGCATCTGCATCATTGTGTGAACGATTCTGAGTCCTATCACTAAACGTCTTCAATCACAGTTTGTGGTTATCTTATGAACATCTACCAAATATTCTGAAACTGTGAATATGGCTCAGGCAAACGGTAAGTGACTTCATGGACTGATGTCACGTTTCAGTTTACTCATCCTTAACTTCCTTCCAACTTACTCCTATACTAACAACTAAAGTTCACTGAGGTAGGCGTTGTATTGGTATATGTAACATATGTCCTACTCACGTTATTCGATGAAAGTTTACATTCCTCAAATCGTTTAATATGCCATACTCACTTAAGTTTATAATAGAACGTAAGTTTAACTACGAATTCCATTCCTAAGTGACTTATTAACTAAACGTAGTGATAGAATACTATAAAAGTCGATGTACAAGAACGTTTATAGGATGAGCAACTGACCTAATTTAACAATTGAATTAAATTAATGAGGAAGTAAAATCTCTTTCATTCTCTCTTTTCACGCCATCGTAAAATTTCTTGATCAGATTGCTTAGAAAATGAACTGGTTATTCTGAAATTTACCATTTCATAAAAAATAACAATTGATACTTATTAAGTTTTATTGATAAAACTGTATGAAGAGTAAACAATCTACCTCAAACTAAACATACCGATCCCAAAGATAATTCTGTTCATAAATTCTAGTTATTTGTTTGTTGTTTTTCGAATCAAAGTTTTAATTTCACATAATTTTTGTCCATTAGTTAAAATTGTTTTCTCAAAAAGTTCTTTTTTCTTAGTACCAGTAATTCAAGCCATGAAATTAACACTGAAAATAGGTTTTTGTTCTAAATAAAAAGATATGACCACACCTTAGTTTGACTTTTTTTCCCCAATTTACCTACATCCCTCCTTCTCCCCCCCCCCATCCATCTCAATTATAGGTGTACTAATTTTATCTTTTGTAGAAAAAACTCCTTAAAAAGACCTTTTATTTTCCTTGTTCAAATTTCATTTAAGGTCAACTCTCAGTACTTTTTCAGATTTACCTTTAAGAATTGACATTTTCTTACTTTTCTCTTGATTTTTTTCCATTTATATCATCAAAATAATTTTCCAACTTTTTATTTCTCATAAATATTTTTTTCAATTTTTCAGTACTTTTGTCTTTTACAGCATGTACTAACTTCACTTTGCTGTTGTCTCTTCATTTTCATTGATTTGAAGCTGTGCCAATTCGAATCTATAGATATTAATCATAGATATATACATATAACTCATATTTTTTTACGTCGTTTTAATTACTTACTTACTTACGCCTGTTACTTCTCGTGGAGGAGCATAGGCCGCTCACCAGCATTATCCATCCAACCCTGTCCTGGGTAGTCCTTTCCAGCTCTTCCCAGTTGTTATTCATTCTTTTCATATCTGCATCCATTTCCCGACATAATATGTTCTTTGGTCTTCCACTTTTCCGCTTCTCTTCAGGATTCCAAGTTAGGGCTTGCCTCATGATGCAGTTTGGTCGTTTTAATAGTCTCATTTTATTATTTTCATAACAAATTGACAATACTTATAAAGACCTAATAAAAACTAGAGTAATTAAACATTTGTTCAAATAAGACATGATATCAGTCCATGAAATCATAAACTGTTGGATTGAGCTGTGTTATTGGATTCGAACTACCGGGTTAGGGTACGCGAAAGTATGGTAAACAATGGGTGAAGACGTTAAGTGACATGGCTCAGAAGTTTTTCATTACGGGAATAGATCCATTCACTTTTTGTTATAGCTTAGATCTTATACTTCTTACTCGGTGAAGTCATCACTTATTATTGAATCCTATTATCTATATACAATTTTTTCTACTATCACTGATAATGTTGCTACTTTTACTATTACATTACATAATTTGATCTCAATGCTCTAATATGGCATAGTAACTTGAACTGATGCATATATGCGCCCAGTTTTACTGACTGACTGACTAGTCGAATTCAACATTTTCTTTTGTCATGATTTGTGAAATTCATTTAAAAACATTCCCATCTACTCCCTATCGATTTCCTTTCATTTTCTTCAAATGATTAAGATCTATTGTTTAAGTTTCCATTTTTGTGAAAGATTACTATGATCACGATGAAATGTTAATTTGAGTACATTTATATCCATATATTATAGTTTTGTCCTTGTAGAACTATCATATTTTATTGCAATTTTACATAGATTCCTTATTAAGATCAAATGAGTTCTATGTATGTGTGTGTGAATTAACTAGTCTATGAATGATAATTAGTGTTACAAATAAATTCCAACTAATATTTATATCCAAAGTTCAATCATTAAAAAAAGTATTTTATAACAATTGAATTTTGTATAAAAAGTATAAGTTGTCAATGAGTAATAAAAGTGACAATCTTGATTCTGTTTGTGCTAATGAATTCAAGAAGTTCCTTATAGAATTTGTACTTGAATATATCTTTAATGTTTGTTCTAACGATCTGATAGATACGTTGAATTCTTCTTCGAACGCACACCAATCAAATGTTTGTTTTTTCTTATATAAATGATATGTTAAAGGTTTTGCAAGAGTTTAAGATCTCTCATAAAAGCTGGTTTATATTCGAAAATGAAAGTAATCGACTACATTGGAATCGAAAAATTAATAGTAGTAATAATTCCAAGAATATATTTGGTAGGTTTTAAATAAGCACTGGCTATTGTAATTCAATATCCTACAGAATAAATCGGTGCTGTATACTCAATGAGCACTGATCTTTCATCCTGCTGGGTATCTCAGAACTGGGTTGGAAATACATCCTTATTGTATCCGCGGTGGTTATTCTAATTTCTACTCTTAACCAATTTTAGGATGATAAAGTACATCAGTTAAACTATTCTTATATTCTTATATTTACAAGCTCAGTTAGTTGGTTATTAATTGTTTTCTTCAGTCTATTTGATTGCTGTACAACTTGGTTCTCGTTAGTAATTTATGAGTTTGATTATCTTATTTATTCTAGTAGTCTTACCATTAAGTTAAAACGTTATAATAACTGTAATCCGGTATATAATAACAATAATCGACAGCAGTCTATCTGAGGTGACATATGTCTTTGTGTCAATCTTATCCTCGAAAAATTATCGAATTGAGCATATTCCAAGTAAACAAAATATGACGATTGTGACATAAAATTAGCAGTTAAGTATAATCTGTTTCTTCTTGATGTTGCTAAATATTTTTCCCTGTTTCGTCTACTTAATCGGTTTTAATTTATTGTTAGTAGTTTTTCGACAACTCCTATCTGATACATTTCACTTTTAATCAATGATGACTTTGTAATTTTATCCTTCTATTTCTATCCATTACAGAGTTTGAAAGGTATACAATACAACTGTATGATTGGTCTAAATATGGATCCGACTGATTCCTATTCACCTGTAGAAATGTATACAACCGTTTTAAATATAACAATCGGGATTGAACATGGAACGCATGCAAAGAGGCTCAACAGTAATAAATGTCATGAAAAATATTACAGTACAAGTCCATGTCATTTTATTTCATACTACCGCAGTGAATTAATTATAACTATTCAAAGCAAATCACACTTTTTGAAGTGTACTGGAAAGGAACTGGTTAATTCAGCCATCTCACAGAATGAAAACGAATTAATTCACAGTGAACAAAGCCAACAAGTGAACAATGGGTGTTCCTATAGAACATCTGCTTATTTCAGTTGGTAAGCATAAATACGTTTTAATTTAATTAATTTCAAAAGAATTGATGTAAGCTTAGGTTACGTTACCTGTTATGACATTTGAGGATAGAGGAATAAAAAACCAGGAAGCAATTATTGGTAAACCGTTTCATCTTAATTGGGGGAATAGTAAGCCTTTTCCGTCTGCGACTCTGCAACTCAACTGAAAACTTTCCGGTTCTATTTCGATCCTGATATAACCAACCTTCGTTAATATAAATTTTAATACATTTTTAGAGTATTCAGTAAAGAAAAAATAGGGTTGTATTGCTCATCCTCTACCGTAATACTTAATTTATATATATATATATATATTAGGTCAGCTCTCACGATCTGTTCGTTGTATAGCGTATGTGCTAGTTATCCCTACTTACTTACGCCTGTTACTCCTCGTGAAGGAGCATAGGCCACTCACCAGCATTCGCCATCCAATCCTGTCCTGGGCAATCCTTTCCAGTTGTTATTCATCCTTTCCATGTCTGCTTTTATTTCCCGACGCAATGTGTTCTTTGGCCTTTCTCTTTTCCGCCTTCCTGCAGGATTCCAGGTTAGGGCTTGTCTCGCGATGCGGTTTGATGATTTGTGTAATGTATGTCCTATCCATTTCCATCATATTTTCCTAATTTCTTCTTCAGCTGGAAGCTGGTTTGTTCTCTCCCACAAAATGCTGTTGCTGATGGTATCTGGCCAATGGATGTTGAGTATCTTGCGTAGACAGCTATTTATAAATACTTGTACTTTCTTGATTGTGGTTGTTGTAGTTCTCGAAGTTTCAGCTCCATACAGTAGAACTGCCTTGTCATTCGTATTAAAGATTCTCACTTTGATATTGGTTGAAAGTTGTTTTGAGTTCCATATGTTCTTCAGTTGAAGGAATGCGGCTCTTGCTTTGCCAATCCTCGCCTTTACGTCTGCTCTCATACATGGATTTTGATGTGTCGGCGTCTCGTCTTACCAGAATATATAAAAGGATGAAGAGGTGAACGGAGTGGACGTTTACCACCTGATAAAATAACACTTATCAGTAATTCGCAAGATTCAAAGTTTCTGCCTACAATCATATTCGTAATGACATCAAAAGATTCATCATATACCTTACTAACTACCTTCAGGACTCTTTCCAACGATAACATCTTTCCTTCAAATCCCAGGAAAGAATGATAAGTAAAAATAATGAATAATGGGTAATGCACAAAAATTTACACATCATAAAATTAAATATTGTGTAATACCAAAAGCCTATAGCAAATCAGACGGAAAACATTATTCGGCATTAATTTTATATACATGTATATTTACGGAGAGGATGACGAGGTAGTTTGTGTTGAACTCTATCTGTATTTAAGAAAGTAGAGAATACTTTACTACAAAATGACATGACTGTCGATTGAATGAATTATTTCATGGGATGAACTTCAACAATGTCATCGTACATCAGTTACATGTGTTCACAAGTATTGATCTATATGTATGTGTTCTGAGTTTTACTCATAAATTTCCCTACTATATTGATTAGATAAATTGATCATTGAATGATGTAATAAGAATTAGTGTTTACAGATGAAATCAAGACCAAATGTCGACAAGGGAATTTTCTAAAATTGCGTCATAAAGGGTGCAAAAAAAGCTAGTCAATTTTTGAATAGTTTTTATTACGATATACTCGATTTTGTGTCACATGATGTCAATTATTTAGTCATTTAAGTTAATAGAAATGAACTGTTTTTGAACATTAACTGGAAACATCACCCCCATAATAGTTATGGTTTGGTTTTGAGAATACTTTAAACAAACTTAAACTGGTGTAATATAGTAAGGAATGACAAATAATGTATTCTGACCTAAAGAGTGGATTGAAGTTCCTAACATCTTTTGAAATATATAAAGCACAAATCATTTTAATAATGGTAAAGTAGTTTGTTCGTAACTGAATAAGTTCTGTTACTAGGATATACAGGTAGATTTTCAATAAAATCCGTTATAGATTGAATAATGGCCGCTACAAAATAAGCGAAGAGACCAAGGGATCTTGAGGAACTCAAGTCAACAGTTAAAATAATGTGAAGTAGTTTATTGAAAACGAAATAGATGATACATACACTCTATTTTTTGTTTGGAGAGATTAGGTTTAAATCGCTTGGCATAAGTAACCATGGTACCCTGTATGCATAATTGTCATCTTGACTAAGATCCAGAACTGTCGCCCTTTTATAAAGAAAGATTGAGTTCCTGGCATATAATCATGAGAATATATTCATAAAGTTTGATGAAAGCATTATTCTTGATCAATACTTTTTCAGATGCATTTGTTTTATAAATAAAATTGGATCTGACGTAGAGAGAACATCCATTTATTCCAATTTCCGAACCCTTTACAATTGTACTCTCAAACCAAACTTTCTGAGGAAGTTCCAAGTCCTTTGCCCTTTGGTCATTCTATGGATCCCTTATTTTGAACACAAGATGGATAGCAAATCAGTTTCTTTCCAAGAGTTAGGTTATTGGTTTTTACATTTATTTGTCTCCCATTTTTCACAACCATCTTCGTCATCATTAACAGTTAGAGGATCTTAAACGTTTTCCAGACAGAGAGTTCTTACTTTACTTAAAAGTATCTTGAATGATTTTAAGTTATACTAATCTTTGTTTGAAAGAACTATGTTTAAAATTGAGTCGAAAAATGAAGTTGGAGATCTCATCATTTGTTTTAGTAGTTTTAGTAACAATAGAGGGAGATTAAAAACGAAAATTAGTCTGTATCAATAATTGACTAGAAAGTGAGAAATGTTGGAGACTGAATTCTAACTTATTAGTCTTAAAGCTAATGTTTGCTAACCATGAAATTTAAAGGTCCTGAATACGAACCAGTATGGAACTGATCGTAGGAGTGCACTACTACACTCCATCGACTCTAAAGCAACTGAAACTCTCCCTCTCTGATGTCTTGTGTTAATATTTTCGAGTTTATACTTTAATAACTAAATTTGTTTCAATAGTTGAAATCATGAGTTAATTGAAGCTAGACCATGATGGAAAACCTGGAAGCATTGGACGACCGTTTCGTCCTATTGTGGGACTCCTCAGCAGTGCTCATCCATGACCCCGTCTTGAGGGATTCCAGGTTTTCCATGGTGGTCTAGTTCCAACTGACCCGTGATTTCAACTATTGAAATTACTACAATCTCCACAAAACCCCTTCAAAAAATATAAATTAACGTACTCGAAAAAAATCCTATTTTAATTTTCCCATCAGGTTTAGACATCATGTGATTCCTCTCTCTTTGGTTGATGGAACTTTTGCATCTATTAATGATGATAATTATCTCAATACAAGAAAGTGGGATATGTTTATTATCTGGCAAGGTCAACTAAATACACCACATAATGATGATCAAATAAATTTTGAACAATTAGATATTTCTTTTGATCATATAAACAAGTCTGTATCTATGGAATCTTTCCATATGAATCCTAATATTACTACTAATACCTCACAAATAAATGAAGGTGATACTTCCATTGTTGCTTATGAGGATAATGAAGATGGTGACAACACTGAAAATGATATTACACAAATGAATGATAAATTTTCACCAGTCTCAACTATTTCAAATCTCCTACACATTGACGATAATAAATATTATGAAGATTCGGCTTATCAAACATTGTATACTGATGATAATATCGATCATATAAAATGGGATACACAATCTATTATTGATTCTCATGAAACATTTGGTATTTTATCAGAGGTGTCTTCTATGCAGATAAAACAAATTCCAATTGATCATGATGCTCAATCTTTACTGGATTTTGACAATACGGATAACAGTGTTGTCTGTATGAAAACTAATTTACCAAGAACTGACGAATGTGACGATGTTATTAACAATAATAATAATAATATTAATGATAATAATAATAATGAGGAATTGTCCATCCTATCAGAAAAACCTGAACTCCACCATAATGTTGATTGTTGTAACTCATCTCAGTCTGATTACAATGTATTAGATTCAATAACAAGTTCCCTGTACAATATAAGTGATACTAATAATAATATTAATCACATTAATAATAATAGTAACAATATAGACGAAATAGATTCAAGAGATAATCACATGGTGGAACGTAATAATCATCATGAATTAATGAATAATGAAAAGTCACCATCCATACAATTTAATTTCATTAATTCATCTCTTACGCAATTGGAAAATAAATTAAGTCGTATTTCACTGGAACTTGAAGAAATGGAAACAAATGAACACCTTAGTGATGAATATATCAGAGAAATTGACAATATTTTTCAATTATTACTTTTGATTAAAAAAGATACTTCACAAATTGATTACATAATATCAAGTTGGAATATGGACAGATGTTTATCAGAGAGTGATGATTATGTAACTCCTAGTACTATAACTATTTTATATAATGAATATACTGATCTATCACAGTTAACTGGAAAAGTAGAACCTACGTTAGAAATAAGTCCAGGTAATTTGATTTGTATTTATTTTACAAGCATAGTTTCATTGAACGATGTATACAGTTTTTGTTTTAGTTTTCGTTGACGGTAATGAAGTTTTGTAGCTCAGGAGAATAATTTCACGAAGTTGAATTCTTTGAACTAGATGATTCTTTTCGACACTATCATTCACTCAAGCTCTGCAATCGTATTTATCGTTAATTTATAAACAAAATAGCAGAACGATTACATCATATTGTGTTAAAGAAATTTGTTCAACGATCGATAAATATGATAAGCTAAAATTAAATGTGAAAGATAATTGCCTGCTTGACGAGTATGAGAAGAGTGAAGAATAAATTAAAAACTTCGAGGTAGTAATAACAAATAATTGATATTAAAGTGATTAAAAACAATAGAATGATGTATCAGCAATCAAATTATGACACTCCAGTCTATAAACCTGACAAAACAACCCTAGTCAACACTGGTTTAATGCTTTTAGATCTGACAGACAGGAAACATTTTGAAACATGCACTTGAAAATTATTGTGAGTTTATTATGTTCCTATTGAATTCTGTTCAATGCCCTTACTTTGAAACATACTTACCTTGTATCATATCTGAAACTACTTACATTAGATTATTTTTGTCAAGAAAATGTAATCAGAATGTGATTAGTAGAATATCCGTGAAATACTACACCCTGTTGTTGTTATAAAATTAATCCTTTATTAATTCAATCTCCTGTAACATCCATCAGTAATATGATTCTTTCTTAATGCTTGAATTATTTCATTTCATTCGGATTTTAAATCCTCTACTCATCACTTAACACGTAAAGCTGAAGATAAATAAAAGATTTGTTCATAGATATAGTCTTCAGTGTTAATTCCAATTAAAAGAATCATGCAGATACTAAAGTACTGTTGTAATAAAAAACCTACACTTCCAGTTTGTTCATACAGTGACAAAAATTTCTTTTTTGTAGTTATATAAAGTACAACATAACGTTAGTAATCATGGGATTTTCAGCATCTGTGTTAGAATATGTTTTAATGGTTTTATTTGACCTACAGGATCTAGTACACTGGATAGAAAATTAGCAAATTATTTACATAATACATGAATAATACTTGTATTTTACGTAGGTGAATAAGCCCACTTAAATTAGATGAATGAGGTTCAGTTTAGTTAAGGAACTGGTCTGGGTACTGGGAAATGAGAAGTTCACCCGTGAATCATGTACATATTCTAAATTTGTGGATGCATATTCAATACAGAAATAAATTAGACGGAATTCGTAGTTTAAATTAAATTGAATTAGGTTAAAAGAAATATATTTAAATTAACATTGAGTAATTGGAAGAAAGAGGATTATTAATAATCAAAGTAATTATTCAGTCAAGACGTTGCTACGTTGCGTAATATATGAAAAAGAGAGAAGGAACAGAATTTTTTAATGGATGGTCAATAGGATAGTAGTTACGCAAGAATCAAGAGATGAATGTTGAGAAGTTATAAAGTTCAAAAGTAACGGAAACAAAAAACAAGTGGAAGAAGTATGCAAAATAGTTCTTTTGAAGCAATGTGCAAGAGGCCTTTTGCACATTGCGGAAGCCATCGCGATCCATATTCACAAACCCGATCTTTGCATTCAAAAGAGATTCGTACAACCGCTTTCTCTACCCTGGCCATCAGTATAAGATTTCCTTCAAAAGAACTATTTTGCATACTTCTTCCACTTGTTTTTTGTTTCTGTTACTTTTGAACTTTATAACTTCTCAACATTCATCTCTTGATTCTTGCGTAACTACTATCCTATTGACCATCCATTAAAAAATTCTGTTCCTTCTCTCTTTTTCATATATTACGCAACGTAGCAACGTCTTGACTGAATAATTACTTTGATTATTAATAATCCTCTTTCTTCCAATTACTCAATGTTAATTTAAATGTCATTATGTAATTATTACGTAACGTATCCACTCGATGAGTATTATATCATTATTGTAAAAGAAATATAAATCAATAAGATTTTATAACTAAATGTAAGATAAAATATTTTCAAAGTTAGATAATACAAATCATTTTATACATCACTGGTTGATAGAATAATTAGTGACAGACCAACAACAATGATCGAGAGCACTCTGTTGTCAAGCCGTCACTCGTTAACATTGTAGGACATAATTGTATATCTATCTAAGTTGTTACTCCTCATGTCAGTACATCGGGCGACATAAATTACCAAATTGTGAAATGAATGGAGAGAATTGTTTATATCCATCGCACTTTATGATAAAATCTTAGAGATATAACTGAAAAAGTACATACAAGATCATAAAATGAAAGTATCGGGTGAGATGGAATTGAATATTTTTTGAGTAAGATAAGGATTAAAGTAATTCGAAGATAATTTGGCGTTTTCTGTTCATCACTGAAGTTCTAGTTTACCTATAACAATAAACATATCGAATCAAGAAATATCATAATTACATTTTTTATAATCAAATTGTGCTATATTCACACTGATCTGTGATCTATCGTTTACATTTGAAAGTTTACTTTTATGTACATTGGCTTCGTTCTAGCTTCTTTTTGTCACCAGCAGTACCGTACAACATATTAGATTTGTATCGAGAAAATCCCCATTACATTAAAACACACATAAATATACATAACAGGTATATTAATTTCAATAAATGCTTACCAGTGTATGTACAGTTGATAGTTTAAATTAATTGTCCAAAAAACTAACATTTCGAATTAGTAATAATTGGTTGCATGAAATAACAAGATGAAATCAACCATATGAAATGTGTTCGATCAGAATTCATGTAATGCAAGAAACTATGAATTCTTATTTTAACTGACAACTCGATTCTAGTATTGCAGTGCATGCCGGTCACATCAGGGTTTACAAACGCTAACAAACAATCTTCATGTACGTGTTATGTTTTCTTAATAATAAATACTCCCCTTATACATTTTCGTGGTTTTTGTTCTACTACACTATCAGTAAGCCCAGTAACTCAATTGTTACATTTACCAAGTGATTAATAAACTTTACAAATCCCCACGTTTCGTAACCACTAATCAGAACACCAGAAAGCTGATAAGTGATGATACCATTTTGTGCCTCATACTGAACTCACTATTATGTAAGTACAATACGATACTACAGTTCAACACAACTTTAAATCGTTAAGGCCTACTATACTTGTCTTTTCTGTATCGAGCTGTGCTGCAATAGACATGTTCAATACATGCAGTTGCACTTAACTCCAGCCGTTAAAAGATAACTTGCAATTAGGGCTATGTAGAAATATAACTGTTTGATAGATACTCATTTATAAACATTCAAACTAGTTCACTAGATAGTACTTACCCAAGGTTTTCTTCTTGCCATATCTTAACAATGAGATTATGATCATTATGTCAGTCACCAGTTGTAAGTGATTGTGGCTGTTCTGTTGGGTAAGTCTGTTAACATAGACAATTGGACGGGTGGCAATATTTGAACTTTGTAGCATTCAGTATGTTGTCCCTTCTCTAGTAGTGATTAACTTTCTTTAAACCTTATTTTGTGCTCAGAAGAGAATTATCAGGGTCATATTGCTACACGTTTATCAACATTGAAATGTTTACGTGCTGACTTGATGAAACGCTGTGATAGGTTAGTTGAACGCCTAGAGAAGCAAACAAGCAATTCTGCAGTAAATATAAATGAAGAACTTGATTTTATCAGTCAGAATTTAGTTTCACTTGCTCATAAACTTGACGATCCTGACAATAATGACTCATCAAATGATACTGATACGTCAACAATTGCCAATAAACTAGAGAAACGGATTACCGATTTACAAGAAATTCAAAAAGAATTCACATATATTGAAGAGAATTTACAAAGGTTAAAGTGTACACCAGCAACGGATTCACTATCTTGCAAATCTATTGCCAAACTTGATTGTATTGAAAGTGAACTAAATGACATGCAAATTAATTTACGAAACCAGATAATATATTTAAATAATTTTCACGAACAATACAGTAATTTAACAACTGCTCTTCAAGAAGAATTCAGTTGGATGAAACAACAAGAGAATGACTTAAATCTAAACAATATGCGGTCAGAATCAAATGGTCCACAAGCGAATAATAATTATGATAATAATACTGGCCATCTAGAACAAGATATCACTGTTTTATACAATCTTATTGTCAAATTATCACAATATTATCACCATAAACTTTTACCAATGTTGGAAAATTATGATAAATTAATGAGCGATGGTGTTAGACCATCAGGAATAATTACATCTATGTACAATGCTGAAGATAATGTATACCTATCAGTGAATATTCTTAATTTATGGGACAGAATAACTAAAGAGTTAATGCCAAGAAAATTCCATGAATTGGTGAGTTTATTTTTCACTGATAATCATAATGATCCATATTCGTAAAGGTAATTTTTAAATAACGAACTTGTGAGAGCTAGGGAATCTATCGAGAACCAATGACGAATTGGACAATATGTTTTATCCTAAAACTTAGTCTTGGGTTATGCCCCGTGTACTGGATAGCGAGTACATACTGCTCCGAGGTTGTAAACTAAAAAGAAGTATTTATCCAATATCCCTTGATTTTTTCTGTATGACATTAGTTCATAATGAAAATTACCTTTGAAATATACCTTCCAAATACGAGCTAGATCATAACGATTAAAATCAGAAGTGTAAATCATTGGATTTCAACTCAGGGCTCTAAATATCAGGAACTTGTTGCAAGACCTAAGCATTCCTGAGGTCGATATTCGGTGAGTTTTCAGATGCCTACTAGGAAAAAACACATGCTTAGTGTTTTCTTTGGAACATCACCTTGGTGTAATTCGTAAAAATATTATCCATGAATGAATATGTATTGTTTATGTTAACGGCTTAACATTGTCCTTTATCGCTAATATCTCCACCCATTCATTTAACGTTTATTTCCATGATTTTATAATTTGAAGTTCCTTGTCTGATACTTTATTTCCCCTCTCTTGTTGATTAATCTATCCAATGTTATGTAGATGTAAAGTAGGCTTACTTGAACCTGTATATATTTGTACAGAAAACGACCTACCTATCTTTATTTAACATTCTGATTAAGCTAATTTCTCTTGACACAGATTTTGTAGAAGCACTGAGTTCATAGTCCACTTGCTTTGACTGATGATCCCATTTTTTAAACTGATAGTCCCCGTAAAACATAAAATATTAGAACAAAGCGATTACCTATCCACATCAAATGTACATGGAACTTGGTATCTTTCCTAAAATTCTTAGTATTATTACATATGAGAGGATCAATACACGCAGCACATGAAAACATGATAATAAATTAATATCATAAGTCTTAATACAATTACAAAGCACAATCTTAGTAATTGTGAACTTTCTATCAAATGGTGAACAACATAGTAGACTAAATTTTGCTGACCATATATAGATATTGTGCTAAGTAACACTTTAGTTCACAATATGAAATGTTTTTCTAATAACTTAGTGGTAATATTCAATTTAGTTTGATACTATGCCCTTAATACTCATATGTATTATATTTAATTTTTTCTGTCTCAACTTTGAATAAATTATTTTGTCGGTTGATTAAAGCTAATAAATATTTAAGATTAAATATTAACTTGATTGTGTTCAAGGAGCCAAATCATCTAAGCAATGACATTTTAATTGGCTACTTATGGTAGTTAAAGCCTGTTTGTAATGGAAGTATAAGTTTGTAAAATTCTGTGTTTTATAGTGGAATCTCCTCGAAATAATTCCTATGCTTCATATATCACTCATCCTGATAATCATTATCAGATAACTTCTCAATCATGTGTGCATTTCAGAAAATAATACGAAGCTCTGACTACAATTTATTACTGTACAGCGCAGATCACTAAGCGAATACGAATAGAGATATAAATGTCAACGAGCAAATGAATGGGATTTAAGAAGCACATGCATATAAGCAAGCGAATGAATCACAGAACAATTCATGTAACTAACATTTTTTGCTAGTAAGAGGAATATGTTCGTAGACTGTAACACGTGACCAAGTATACATGACCATAGAAGCATGGCGATAATATCGTAAAGATATAACCAAGTTGTTACTGACACAAATGACACTATCTATAAAATATTTTAATTAAAGAGCATAATAAATTCAAGCTTGAATAAACTAATGTTTAGGTGAGAGTACTATGTCTTATATTCAGCTGTCTATCATACGCAATTATTTCAAGTTCGCAGTACCATTTGTAAATAATATTAAAAAAATAACGTCACTGATAAGACATGACTCAAATTAGGTCAAAATTTTCGAGTTATATCAGTTTATATCAATTAATGAACTGTTGATCTGGGCTATGTTGGTAGATCCAGACTACTTATTTGGGTTACGCGTTAAAACTGCGATCAATAGTTGGGGTTGTGTGACATGCCTCAGAATCATTAACAGTAAAATAGATTCACTCTATATCTTACTGTAGATTTTAAACTCTGGTATTCCCTCATACATATCTTCTCATTTTGTCTTCTCGAAACATATTCTCAATATATAGTCTTTCTCACTATCAAAACAATTTCAATTTCTTTGATATTCATTCTATTAATTTTATCTTATGTGTCTAATGTGGTATGGAGACTCGTGTAAACGCATATTTATGATTAATTGAATGACTGACCCATTAATAAGGTCTGTCATCAATCTTTAAGTTTAACAACTCTAAGTACAGTGGAATGATACTTTGAGATGGTGGAGAAGATTTGTAGCTCAGGTGGATGACTTTGATGGAGTTTTGTTCTCTGAGCTGGATCATGAGTACTTAGATCAAACAAAGTGGCAAACATGGTGATGAATTTCGACTTACTTTAGAAAAACTGAACAATCGAACAAGCACGGGTAGTGTTCAAACGTCAAAATATTAATCAAATTTTATTTCAATTAAGTAAACGATTATAACTTATATTGTACAGTTTGGGGCGTGTTCTTATGATAACTAACCCTAATTAATGACCTTAGTGCAGCATAAAAATTTGGGACATAATTGATTGAGTAATTTTAAATATTTATTGCTCAAATTATATTTCTGTTCTTTTAAAATAACTGTACAATTAAGTAGAAAGTTAAGCGCCATATTGATTGTTGATTTCGGGCTATTTTAAAATGATTTTAATCAGAAATTTAACAATTACCAGGATTTGAAAAAATGGAAAACAAATGCTTGGTCGTTTTTCCAAATCTATACTTACTACTACTTGTGCCTGTTACCCCTTGTGAAGGAACATAGGCCTTCCAGCAACATTCTCCATCGAACTCTGTCCTGGACAGTCCTTTCCAGTTGTTCCCACTACACCTATAACCCTACTAGGGCTACTACTGATCTCAAGCCCGAGTAAAGGAGGAGGGTTGGGCATGGGGTCAGCATCCTTGATAAAAAACGCTGACCAGAATAAACAAATCCATGGGACTTTGGTTATTGCTCAATAGATGTGCTAAACAGACGACAAAAGATGGATTCATTTTTACTGTCTGCTCACTTTTGAGTCTACTATTGTCCCTTACATTTTATTTCTCTCTGATATCTTTTTAACTATATTACCTACGTTTAGTTTCCTGCTACTGTTAATATTATTATTTGGACTCACTTTTCGTATTGCTATTGGCTTCCCAATACATGGACATAATGTGAAAGAATGGACTGATTCAGATCTTTATAAGACCTATATTAATGATGACTGTCCGGACTTTTAGGCCATTCACACTACCAGTGAACTACGTTATTAACTGTTTCTGGAAGTTTCGTTTTCAAGTTAGAGGATATTAATCGTATCCCAAACTTGTCGTACAAACTCAATTACTCCTTAACTTCTATTAATAAATTTATTTTCTAGTGTTTATTTATCTGCGGTTACCAACGTTCACTTTTTTTAAAGATAGTTTGCACCACAGACTGACCCGAGCTAGACAGTCAATAGGAACCAGGCAGCACTAAATAGCGGTTCTGATCTCGTATGGAATTCCTGGACAATGCACACCCAGAATCCTTCTCAAAGGTAAAACTAAGTTCCTCTAGATCTCTAAGGTAATATCAAGTGGGGCAACTTTCCGATTTCATTTAATTTACGCTTCAGCTCGACCATGATTATACTGTCATGGATAGTGTCTGCCTCATTCCTAGCTTACATAATTGAGTTCCAACGGCAACTCACTCTTACTGAAACTTCCTTCTATTCGTTTATTCTGGTGTGTTTTTTCATATTTCAATTTGATTGTTTGTTTGTTTCACTGTCAACTATATCAAAGAATGCTAACTTCAACTAATGCAATATTTATATGATCTATTCATTTCTAATTGATCGACCTGTCATTTGTTTTTATTAAAATGCACATTTTGTAATTGTACGTATTATTTCACCTTTTGATTCCAACTTTTAAGATCACTAGATCATATGAACAAATAACTAGAAACTTAACATCAACTTTTCATTGTCTACCGACTTTACAATCATTTGAACTTTTATTTCCAAATGGTAATTTACCCAACTCGAATTCTCTTCATTGTCACGTAAATATCATTTCAGTAAGTATATGTTTATTAGAAGTGGTTATCATTTCATTTTATCAATTAATTGTTTAAATCATATATACCGGACAATTTTCATCAACTATCTTGTTAATTATGATGTTAAATTAATTTTCCTTTTTGTGCTCTGATTTGAGCTACAGTCTTTGTGTTAAAGATAAGTTATACTAGCCACCCAGCTGAAGTGATGAAGATAGAATGGGGTTCAAACCTTCTACCTGTTTTGGTGATTAGGACTCTACTGGAAGACGTTGATAACGAGATGACGTTAATGATAAAATTATGTTCGCTATGTTTTAGCATACCATAAGGTTTTGTTTGAAATTTTTATATCTGCATCATCTCTTAATAGATGTGTCGACTCCGTTTAGTCTTACTGCTTTTACTTGACAATCGGGAATCACTGCAGAGTATGAAGACGAAAGACACTAGAATAATTTCTATGCTAGTTTTCGCACACAAGAATACTAGATACATAGAGTTACTGTAGAAGCACACGTACAATATAGTTCACCTGAATTGATTCAGAGAATTTATATATCATACTGAACGAAGTTTATGCTTAATCGATCCAAGAAATGTTTACTTAACTAATGTATTTTTATCATTTCATATCAGAAACAGAGGTGATATCTTAGTTATGTTATGGCCTTACCAGCTTGAGGTAATGTCTTCTTGCAAGGCTCTGAAAAACGTGTTTCTGAATGTGCAGATTTATTTAAACTTACAGATACACCTGGAGTATATGATAAATACCAACAGTTACGAAGGTGGTAGCTACTAGATTTCCACAACTGTTTTATTGAATTGCTTGTACGATAGACGTTTAATTATTGCAGAAAGAAATAGATTAGCATATAACCATTCTAATTATATATCTTTGGTAATTCATTTCACATCTTTACATTACTTCAGTTTTCATTCTTTTTTTCCTAATAACAGGATCATATCAATATTATTCAAGGTGAAATTGACTGGTTGCATAAATATATTGAACCAATCATTATGAATGAAGATCGACTTAATTTATTTACAGATACTATTACTAATACTACTGATACTACTAATATTACTAATAATGAAAATAATATTGGAATCAGTGATCAAATTGTAAAATTCTATGAAGTTAATCAACATCTAACACAATTACTTAGTTATTTTACACAAATTTATCAACAATTATCTGTTTTCTACATACCGACTATGGACAGATATCATCAGACAATTGATCATGCATTGACTTACATTAATACTATTCAAAATCAAGTAGAATTACTTCGAGAACTGGCAATGTCTATCAAGGTTAGTGACAAGGATGATAAGGATGATTGTGAAAGTACTAATTACGACGATGAACAAAATGAAAATGTAGAATGTGCTCTAATTACTTATGAAAAGTTAGAAAATCTATGTACTGGAAAACAACAGTGTTTGGTAAGTTTATGTAAATATTTGTGCTGATTTTAGCTAGTTGACCTTTTTAGACTCTTAGCGGAGATTTATTATCAAGAAATATACTTTCGATACCAATGCTCATATGCTGTGTCTAATGTAATAGGATTCTTGGAGCACAGTGTTTCTTAGTTGGATGCAGTCGGCAGGTAGCCGTATCTCTTTTTAACAATGAGTACCTGAAAGACTGATGCTTCCAGTGGGGTTCGAACCCATGTTACAGCCGGAGAAGTTACTTACTTATACCTGTTAACTTTCCTGGAGGAGCATAGGCCACCCGACAGCATTCTCCATCAAACTCTGTCCTGGACAATCGTTTCCTCTTGTTTCCAGTTGCTATTCGTCCTTTTGATCTCTGCTTCCAATTCTCGGAGCAGTGTGTTCTTTGGATTTCTTTTCCATTTCTCTTTAGGGTGCCAAGTTAGCACTTGCTTTGTGATGCAGTTTGGTGATTTCTGTAATTTAAGTCTTATCCACTTCCAACGTCTTTTCCTAATTTCCTTTTCAGTCGGAAGCTGGTTCTCCCCTACAATAGGTTGTTGCTGATAATATCAAGTCAAATATATCGTCCTGAATTCGAGTACCTCTGACGATGCTAGCGAAACCTATAATAAGCTGAACTCTGAAAATTTCTATACTGAGATGGTGGAGAAGATTTGTAGCTCAGGTGGATGATTTTGGTGGAGTTTTGTTCTCGACCAAACCATCCAACTCAGAGAACAAAACTCTACCAAAATTTTTATACTGTACTACATAGGACCCTGATGGTTCTTAGTAGAACTAGTGGTGTATATTTCGACATCATTATCATCATGTTTACAGATAATGTGTTTGAGTTATTTAGCCCCGAATGCCCTGGTACGGTTGAGCGTAAGGAGAGTCCGCTCTTCCTCTCGAAATGCTCTCAAATAGCCACGCGTATACAGCCACTACCAGAGGAGTCCTACTCATTGCCTTCTCACGGCGGGGGTGTTTACGAAATTGGGAGGATGAAAAGTGAATGTCCAGCGCTTTAACCGGGTAATGGATATGGAAGATCCACCTAGGGAATCACGGGACTGCACCTCCTAACATTACTCCACTGCCTTGTGGTTCAGACCTTTAGGTCGAAAGCTCCGGGTGTGGTCTCCTTACAAAACCACTTACTTTGGTCTGGGCACCCGGGTAGTATCACATCCCACGTACAAATTAAGTGACTTGTGTTGCGCATATGTATTCGATGGCCCTTTGTACCAGTATTTATGTGTTCAAATAAATAAATCGACCGACCAGTTACTTTTAATAGGATTCAATGTATAAAGGTCACATCATCTAGTTCTCAAAATTTTATGTCGATTACACTGAGTATAATGAGTTCCAGGAAATTAGTTGACTAAGTGAGGCATCATTCAAACAATATGAATAAAATTGTATCAATATACAGCCTTATTCAAGTGGATATACATATTAACAGTCTCTGAGGATAAAAGTTTAAGTTATTTGTTCCTGTATAGTCTTCATGTTTATTGTAACACCTTTCATCCCACTGTGTGAAGTTTAACATTTCCTTAAATTTGTTATTTTGTTCTATAAACTGGACTCAAACAAACTAGCTTACTGGCCAATTTCTTTATAATTGACAATCAAATACAATCCTTTGTAGTTTAGGCGTAATTAACACCTGGATGATAGGTTCTGTTACAATCAAGGATGGTAGTAACCCAAAGATGAAAGTTATTTTCAATTTTAATGAGTAACCGTAAGTGAAAATTGTGAAAATTCACATATATTTTAGATGGGAAGTATTTATTCTTTCCCATACAGTGTGAAATTAACGACATTCATGTCATACATGTCCAGACGTGCATGTACTTTGCAAATGCAATTGATTTTAAACAAAGGATTTAAACATGAAAGAGAATGAGTCATAAACTGTGGAATGAGAATAGATCAGACTGATCATCACGGAGTAACTAACTAAATTAATTAACTAAAGAACATAATCGGTTTATTAACATGAACTACCTACACTGATATTAAATGTGAAAAAAATTTTGTTTGCCAAAAGGTCATCAGGATGAAAGGTCAGTTACAAAATAATACTAACCATAGTATAATGTTTATTGTTAATACTTACATCACATGGCTTTGGTATACTCGATGTTAGGACAAAATAAGATTGAATTCTACTTAGAAAAAGATTTTTTTTCAGTTTTACTTCTAAGATTTTGTTTTCCAGATTTTTTTATTTCAAATAACTGCTAGCTTTAGGATCAAAAACACGCATTTCATCCTATTCTAGGATTCGTTAGCTGGAGTTATCTGAGGTTTTGGGTTCTCACTGAAAGTCTAACCTAGTATTCATTCATTGGATTAACAGTACGTTATCCTCTAGATAGCTGTTATGACTGAAGAGCTCATTGAACATCGGTACTGAAATACAGATACATCTAACCGGTGAGTTAAAGACTGGACTTAATGTGGTTCTCAAAATCCATTAGTAACTACCATCCAAACGATAATCAACTTGTAAATGCTGGCAAAATTGAGGCATTCATTTGATGAGTCCATATGCCAATAGACGCTGGCCAATTCAGTCCTGATGACTGGGAGCGGAAAAAGTATAAAGTTACATAGTTACTAATAAATTTCAAGTATGTTGGTGGACAATGCCGAAAATTTTACTTAGTAACCACTGATTAGTCTATATAATCATTGTGAACACACAGTCTAAAAACAAGATAATCAGTTACCTAGATGAAAAACATAAGTACACTTCCTATACTTTTGTATTTCAGTGCTATTCTTGATGATATTATTTCTCAACAATATTTAAACATTCATTGCATGTAATCCTTTTTCGTGTCAATACATTAATGGTTTGAACTAAGTGCACGCCCGTTAGTATGCCCAATCAAAATACAATGTTAAGCGGTAATCATTGTGGATACTTTGCCATAATATATATCCCTTATTGTAAATTAGAACAACATCCATAAGTGAACAATATTGTTTTTCTTAGTTAGATCCTCATCAGGCTTCACTCTAATATACTGTGATATTTATATGCATATATTCAATTATTAGAACAATAAAGCCAGTTTATGAGTCACTGATAACAATGGAATAGATTACATAAATAAACATAATAAGTAAAAAGTACAAACTTATATTGTGATCACTGACCTACTAATTGCGATAAGAATAATAAGGGCTCGAATCAATGTTAATAGTAGGAAAAAGGTCAGTGTCTTGGAAAAGTTGACGCTGAAATAAGATTTATTAAAATGATGAAATTACGTAATAAGTGTCCCAATGATTGGAGAGTGAAGTGTAAATTTGGAAAGGAGAGTAGAGTAAAAATAAACGAAGCGTGACGAATCCTTATTCTTTTGATATCACATCAATTTTTTCTCTACTATATTTACAATTATTTTATATTTATTTGTCCTTTATTTAAATGGCCTTCAAATTGCATTGCCTTTAGTCATTTTTGATGGGATCGGATTGAAGACCGTTGCTCATTCTAGAGCATATGTTTAGACTCGGATGATGCTCTAGTTCGAGCACGTATTTGTCGGCACCTTACTGAACATAGAAAAGCCACAGTAAGAAAACCTATTGGAGTTCAAATGAACGATGGAAAAGTTGAGAATATATTTCAGAAACAACTAAAGGAGCTGGTTAACCGGGAAAAGGATACCCACCCCTAAACAGCTTGGCACGATATCCAAAAAACTGTTGAAAGAGTAGTGATATTTACTGCTAACTTTAACCAAAAAGTTAGGAAAAATTAGTGGATTTCAGTGGCGTCTACAGAACTGATAGATGCTCGGAAATTCATGCCATCTGGTTCCGGACACGAGGAGCATAGGCGGCCTAAACACAGACTGATAAAAAGCTTAACTAGTGATGATGAGCAGTGGTGGTTAGTGACAGCAGAAGAGATGGAAAAGGCAATAGCGGTAGGTTAAAGGTACATCTGTTCAGATTGTCAAGGAAATTGATATTAAAGATCCGTCTGTTAGTGTAACCGTCTAGGGACAATGCGGGACTGCTATTCACTGTCAATCCAGGAGATTGAACTAATGAGCAGAATACTTTAAGTGATAGTTCATCTGGGCCCCATTGACACTTTAGTTACCCACTATCTCCAAGCAACCTTAATGGCAAACTGATACAGTTCCTCTAATATTAAGAAAGTTTAAGAAATAAATTTCTTAGTCTCATTCGAAAGCATTGCAACAGTTCAATGTATTTTATTATTTCATAAAAATTCTCCCTAATATTTCAGTTTGAGTAACATCTAGTTGACGGTTTTGTTTACTTTATTGTGAAGTATATGGTGGTAGTATAATGTATGCCGTTTTAGCACAGAAATCACAACAACTCTATCATTATCCTGAGCTATGAATTTTGTCCTCTAATTATTACCTTTACAAAGTAGGAGTTCTTACTTATGAAGCGTAAAGACAAATAATGAACGTCTGACACTTATATCAGGTTGGTGAATACGAGTTGTCTACTTGAAAAAGTTAAATTCAAAACCAACGATGTGTATGGGCTCTAAGGTCCTGATGGAACAAATAACTCATAAATCTATTTTTGGTTCTCGGTTATCACGAGACAGCATTTCTTAATGCTATTCCGTTGCCTTGTGAATTAGGCCTCTGGGTTAAATGCTTGAGTATATCCCCTTAAGGAAACCGCCTGTTTTGGTTTGGGTGCTCGGGTAGTGTCGCCGCCCACACATGTATTATAACTATGTAGCGCATACTAATTGTCCAATTGTACCAGGCTTAATGTCTATTAAACAATTAAAAAAATACATATAATAAAGCATAGAACTATTCAGAAGCCTTCTTGGTGAGCTTGTTTTTTCTAAGCTATAAATCTTCCTTCTTAGCAATGGATTTCTTGTTTAGAAACAAATTATTTGCTTTCACCAATAGTTCTACAACTTTTTCCACTTTATTTATTGGTTTTTGTCTAAATATGAATAGGAACTATTGGAAAATGTTCAAAATAATCATCGAACTATTATTGATGAACTTGTAAATATAGTCAAACAAATTCAAATTTCAATTAATGAAGTGATAAAATCCACTGACAACAGTCAAGATTGTTCAAAGACGATGACGCCAGCAACAACAATGCCAGTCAACACAATAGCGACCAGTACTTATTTGTCAAAACTACTGGATCCGATTGAATCAACATCACAAAGATTTCTGTATTTTATTTCAGAAATTCAAAAGATAATCTCTGAATATGATCAGTTGATTATTCATACAAGTACAAGACAAAAGTTAGTGCCTCAAGAATTATCTGTAAATGAGAATACACTGGATACATTAGATATGCATGGTTCGGAATTGTTTCAAGTTAGTTATATTAAGTTTATTGACATCCTTTTCAATGACCATATATTATGAATTTCAAGTTAAATTATTAGACCCTGCTCAGTTTTTGAAACTGACCTATTATTGTGCATAGGTTGGTTTATTTGAAGTGATAAGCGATAATTATACCGACTAAGTAAATTCATTTTCTATATCAATATCCTTTTTCATGAAATCTACACACATACGGTAGGATTTGACAACACTGATATCAACTTTCATAGAACGCTAGGCTTGGATTACATGTATGCATCTACTAGATCTTGTAAGGCTTTAGGAGCTTATACTGTGCAGTTTGTCTTAGTTCTTATCTTGTGTGTTAGAACAACCTATAAATCCCGATAATCTTGGACAATATTCAAGGGTATCATATTTATTATTTAATTATACGAATAATCGCCGTTATGATCTTTTTCTATGACATAGTGTTTGCCAATGTTCGTTTCTAATGAGGACAACCAAACCAACCTATAACTTTATCTTATAATTTTATCTAGTTCTTCATATTTCAATCTATCCATAAATATCAGAACAGATGACTTTGCAATACCCGATATATCATTAGCATCTAGTAAAACAGGATTAAATACTGAAACGATCCCATAAAGTGGCTTGAATATTGCTTACTTCCTCTTTCGACAAGTGATTACAGTTACTACTTTTCGTTCTGTAACAAATGTGGCTCGCTTACAGTACTTAACTTATGACAGTTAGTGGCAAAGCATATAGAAAATGACTTTAACGTTCTCTCTCTCTCTATATATATATATGTTCTTACTTCCCTACTAATTATAGGACGCTTGTATACCATCAGTTAATAATTATCAACACCATTTTAATGTATTCGACAAACAATATGAAGAATTATTAAATGAATCTTTGACAAATTCTTGGTCAGTTGTTCGTGATTATTCCTATTTGAATGATGAGAATCAATTGAATAGACAAACATTACTAGTCAATAATTTATCTCAAACAATTATTCACAGTGGTGATTCCAATGAAAGACATAATACAGAAGTAATAATTCTGAACAATATCTTAAAGAAAATAGATTGTTTAGAAAGTGAGTTAATTCATACAGTGCGCTTTTCTTTTTCTTTAAATGATGGTTGATATCAATACTATTGATAAAAAGAATATGAATTCATTAAATCAGTATAAAATGAGTTTTGTGTTTTGCTAATGTCTGTTAAACTTATGTATTCACGTACTATGAACAACAAATAATGACAAAAGTAAATGTTGATCTATGAGCGATCATTGAAACAGTCGTATAAAGATTGAAAGGTTGGTATCTCATTGAATGTTCACTGTTCTCTGAAAATAGATAAAGTATGAAAGAGTTTCTCAGTAGCTAAACCAAGATAAAACAATAAATTAAAATACCTGACAGTTGTCGAATTTAGATATTTTAGAGGTTAAATACATCTTACTAATTTTATCGAAATATGAATTATCGTAAATATGAAATGTCGAAATTGTTTTCGCCGTTTTATCATAAATGTAGTGAATCAACTCATGCTTGTTACATTATTTGTTAGCAGCCAAAAACATTGGATGCAATGTCTTTGGAAAGGTGGACACTTTTGTACTCCATTTCTCGCTGCTTATTATGTTATAGATATTGTATGGGGTTTGTGGAGAACTGAGTTTTTGTGATTGTTCTTTCACTAATTCAGATATCATATTTTTAAGGTATCTATATTATACTACTTAAATGTATTTTCAGTAGGAATGTTCTGGTGTTTGATTTTCTATGTAATTCAATGTTGCGTATATAAATTGAAGGATTTGTTCAAAGAGTGACCATTCTACAAGGGCTTTCTGTAGACAGAGGGAGATCCAAGTAGATCTGTTTACAAGAAATTCTTGTGGAATGGTTAGCTATCAAGCATTTACATCTGGGTTCTCACTGGTCGACAGCGAAACTTAATTATATCCCCCGCTACCCGGATACGAAGAATTTGTGGTACTGAGGTCATCGATATCTAACTATACTTCGTTAAAAATGCTTATCAAAAACGGGCATCCATCAGTATTTATTGGGAAGAACATAAAACTCGAATTTCTTAAAGCCAAAATAATCTCTGAAGATGGGAAACTCTTAGTAACCTCCATTTCAAAGGTGATATGGTCACAGACATCCTGAAGAGGAGAATTACCGACTCTCTCATGAGAACGTTCTTCACCAAAATCTTGGGATTAGTGTTTCCCAACCAGCAATTATTCGCTGGCAGTCTATTGGATAAACTATCTCATTTGAACAATTCCATATGCATTTTCTAAATTACTAGTTCGTATGGAGCCAGGTATTTAGGATCTTCGATGCGTATTTTATCCAAAATTATTTAATAACATTATTCGAGGTGGGTGAAAAGAGGTGACAAATAGCTCAATAAGAAGTATAATAATCAAACACCTTGTGAAAACAGACCATTTAAGCAAAACAAACTCAGTGTTCGAAGTCATCTACAAGATAAGTAGAAAGCTGTCAAAAACAGTTAGCCTCTGTCTTTTTAACATTACTAAAGCACTTGCTATGCATCTAAATAGACCAGAATTATCTGTACGAAAGAAATTTGTACAACCTCTTCTTCTACCATGGTCTTACTCTCTCATAAGTTCTTCTTCACTTCCAGAGTCATTTTGTTCTCTTCTTTTTTTCTATAGACCTTTTACCCACAGCTGATTTGTTTCTGTTTCCATGATCTTACTGATTATAGTTTATCTCGATTTCAACGTTTTATCTCAATATGTTGGGTCTTGCTTTTCAAGTATACATTTGCAATTATACAGTATTGAACATGAATTCACTGAAAAGAGAACTCTTTTCTGAACCAGTTTTTTTGTATTTTGTGTCTCAATGGTTATATTCTGTTTAGTATGTTAATTAATCTTATTTTTTTAGATAATCTTAAATTATCCTGTTGTAATATAATGAATGATGACCTGGTAAGGAATAGAGTGAATCAAGTGAGCGAATTACGGTCTGATGTAACTGAAAAATTAAATCAAACAATTAAGGAAATTGAACTAGTGCGAATGAGCAGTCAACAAATAGAATATGCTCAAGCGAAGTTGAATGCTATAAAAGTAAGTTCGGAATAAGTATGAAATGTACAGTCTCTTGAATTTTTCGTTCATACGTTCCGTTTTTCCTTATTTTGCATACCTGGTCTAATATATTCCTTTACAGTATGAAATTTTTCTCAACTTTTGGTTGCTATAAAAAACGTAGTAGATATTAATCTTTATTTAGGAAAATATTTCTCTGAAGTTAGGACTAATCAGAAATGGAGATAAATTTAACGTCGGTAGTGAAATGTAAAGTATTGGTTCGAGGTAGTCGATAGGAATTCGTGAACGTAAGTTTCGTAGTATTTGGCACACATCAGTAAGGTGTACCTGTAGTCTAGAGGGAACTGATACTTCCTGTCAGAGACGATCTCATGTTACGTAGCTTCGCAATCAGAAACACTACTATTGAACTATTTGGATCACGACTAACCTCTTACAAGGCTATGGCATACTCACTGAATAGTGACCAGTTTCATGTATCAGGTCTTTCTTAGTGTAACATGATCGTTCGAATTCGATTTTTTGTAAAATTGAGGTGTGTTTGAACATCTCATGAAAATTCATTTCCTTAAATGAACTCACATAATGTTACTTAGTGCTAGCTTGCGAACTTAGTGTGGGTTTCTACACCTTTCTATAGGTCATATCTTCATATGTTTATATCTTTATATATTTTCTATAAAAATCGATGTCATTTCTATTAATTACCGTTACCTCTTTTTTCACTATTGTTGTGTAATTTGATGCTTACTTATATTTGTTTGTATATCATCTCTAAACATTAATAATAAATGTAATTTTATTAATTTATTTCACGATTTAGTCTACATTTAAACAATCAAGCGATTTATTTCAACGTAGCGTATTCTCTCAAAACGAGGCTGAATTGGTAACTAATATATTTGAAACATGTGGTCATTTAATTAAAAAACGATTATCTGAAACAAACGTAAGTTTGAATTGTCACTTCAATATATTATAAGTAAATATGTAATCACAAATTTATTTACCTTGAAAGGTATCAATGCAAAAAATAGTGCATTTATTTGTGTAATATTACTGTTATTGCTTTATTCAACTGAAATTTATTTAGTTAATTGTTATAATTTATAGCATGTACGCCCTGTTAATGCATAACGTAATGATACTGCCAATTAGAGAGCAGTGAATTGTCGATCGAACCAATGACGCGTAAAACCTGTACGAGTAGTCTAGAGTGCTTATCGGTCCTACTTCCTGCCTAGCCCAGCCAGTCAAGTCCAGAACATCGATTTCAGCTTGTGTGATATGAATAATTTATTTCAAGCATACTGGGTTTATATACCAACCAGAGAGAACACATCGTATCATAAAATGGAAAATAACATTTATACAAGATTTGGCCAAATGTGTCTGTGAATGAGGGGGGTAGTGATTAATAGATAGGGAGTAATTCAAGAAAAGTAAATCCTAGAATAATAGTTCATCGGTCAAAATAAATCTCATAATAAGAGGGGCATAAATATGAATAGTTTAGTTATTTAACAATTATACAATCAAAATATACACATAGTATTGGTCCACAAATGGATCCCGAAAGTTACCATTCATTATGCTTATCGGGACATAATATTAATAAAAATGTTGCTTTCACATTGTGCATCTATAAATTTCAATGCTTTTTGAAAAATAGTTTAGTGTATCTCAATTTCATACTTAAGAAACGTGGTTATGAAAAAGTGTTTTATGCTCTTAATTAAAGTTTTTATTATCTTCTCTTTTGAAGTTCATGGTAGTTTTGCCTACGAAACCAAGTAAATTTTGATAACTGAATTATTCAATTAATAGAACGAGTAGTACATTAGCTTTCCCTAAATCAGTTGAACCTACAGCGTTGTATCAGACTTCATCCAAAAACCTTATTCCAGTCAGAATAATTCTTTTATTAGTTTACTTATATTTATAGACGTACTTGTTTTGTTGAAACTGTTTATCCGGCCTCTTATTAATTTTGACTTTAATAAAAGTTTGTTACTGTAACTGAAGAATGTGCTGATATTCCGTCAAGTATTCAAAAAAAAGAAGAACCATTATCATTCCAGCAAACAGAAAGTTTTGAATTGGTATTATAGTTATTGAAATTCATGATTTCTGATAAAAAAAACTTTCAAAAGAACTACTAATATTGGATTACTTAATCGATATCAGTCTAGCGACTATCAAAATTTCATGGGTTTGTTCATTTTAATATCTTTCTTATTTTAATGATTTTAATCTTTCTAGGATTTTCTGAAATGAAATCAGTGTACTCTAATACGGAATTTTGTGTGATTCTGTTCGAATGTGTCTCTATTATGAAAAAACTTGAACGTTTAATAGAGAATTGTATTGAATAAGGTTATGTTCAATACTAATAAGATCTGTCAAATTGTTCCATGGTGAAGTGAGAATAGGGCATTATTTATTCCTTGAATACATGTATATCGGCGATCGCTATTGTGGACATGTTTATTCAGTTAGAGCAAACAGTATTGTTGTTTAAATTTTCAATAACAACTTCATATGATGTCATTTTTCAGTACCGCGGCTCTACATCTAATTACATTCAAAATAAGCTTTAACCGAACCATGGTGTGTTTTATTTTATCCTGCAAATCTAAGTTCAGAAATATTGTTTCTTAATCTCTGATGCAATTTAACCCCAAAGTGTTCTTCCTTATGTAAAACTTAGTGATATTAATCATCTTTAATACAATCTAGTGTTGTAATCTTCAAATCTCTGAATAAAGTAATTAACTGTCACTTCTTTTGTCTATGTGTTTTTTTCTCAACTTCTCTTTATTAGCAAGTAATTGACAAGCTTCAAGAATTAATTGATGAAACAAATTCTACTAATCCAGGTCGTTATTTACTACAGAATTTTAACTTTGATGATGAAAATGACATATTTCCATCTGAAATTGCGCATATCGAAAATAACCAATTGATAGATTCAATAAATTCTGAACAAAATAACATATCTCTAACATATTTCAATATTCCTTTATGGTATGAACAAACTAAGGTAAATGATGAAGTGATCAATTTTCTGGAACATATAAAAAATCAACGTGAACAACTATTATTTAGTTATGAATTATCACAACGTCTTGCTATATGGTTATCAGTAAGTTGGATTGTGAAATTTTTGTTTCCTACAGAAAATGAAAATAAACCAGTTTTCATTTGATAAGATCAAGTATAGATGAATTATTTAACTGATGCTTGTGCTTATTCATTGGGTTGAATACCGTTTTAATCGAACAATCATGAATAAATATTAATAGAATCCAGATTGTTTGTTATACCACTCAGTTTGTGTTTAATCTTTTAATTAATCGAATAATTATAAGAAAAAATTCCGAGTTTTTCTTGATTAACATCACCTATTCGCATCTTAACCATTGCCTACCTTTACACATAATACTGGATAGCTTTAGACTGGATTGGGATGAAGCTCTCTTTCAGTGAAAAAATTGACATTAGCTCATGAATTCATTGACCGTTAGACTAAACCCTCTCTGTTGATACAGACCATGGGGTTGAAGTCTTCGTCATAATTATTCATTTTGAAAATTAATTCCTTCATTTCGAGTCATATTTCTCATATGGAGTCTTTTTTATCATCATTAAAATAAGCGTTATTTTGACTCCTTCCATATCCATCTTTTTAATTTTTCCTCGATATCCTGATATGACGTATCTCCTTGAGCAGATGGATATATGTCCTTACTTCCTACATTGATCATGACTAAATAGATTGGCGGGGCGCTTTTACGAAGTTTCTTAAAATTTCAGGAAGAAACATTAGACGATAGTAAGACTTTTTTTATCATGACCCCACACGCAAAGAAAAAAACTTAATACGATATAAACGTAATTTAATAGTTGTTTAAAACATTCTCACTTTTGTAGTGTTCTTGTGTATCATTCACTAAAAATAGCCTAACTTGCCTTCGGAAATTTCAATTTGTTCCTCCTCATCAAACATAGAATTTTATTTCTGTGCCAAAATGTTTACTTGTACACTTACAATTGTCACATAGAAATGTTTATGTGCTTTCATCTTGTTTTTTCTGTTTTCCAGGTAATACATCCTAGAATGACCAAATTGAAAGTGAAATTTCAACACTTAAGTGTTAAGTCAGCTAATTTAAGTGGCAATAATGATCTGTGCTCACATTTACATGATGTAACCGTAAGTCAAGATTATCGTATATATATTAGTAGCACAGTTATGCTGTCACATTGAACAGACCTTGGTATTCCATTTTTGTATTGGTAGTTTGAATCTTCCTATTGATGTTTAGGACTGCAATTGAACAGTTTCTATTGGCACATGTGCATACTGTGCGGATCGCCTCAATATCGCCTTCAGGCACAAACATTATAAGCTGAGATGATGATGGCTAGCAGTGGAATCCAGTTCGACGCGCGTTTCGTCCTATTTGGGACTCGTCAGTTGGATGCACCTGGATTCCAGAGTTGATATTCACTCCATCTCTGCTTATAATGCTTGTGACATAAGGTAATATCTAGGCAATCCGCAAAGGATGCACATATACCAATAGGAGGCTGATCAATTACAGTCCTAAATATCAATGGGAAGATACAAGCAACCAATACGAAGTGAATTAAACTTCACCTCATTGCACAAGCTAGTGGCTATCAGGACTCAATAGTCTGGTGGAAAACGCGATGGCGTTTGAAGCAAACGATATTATGTTGGAGTCCCAGAGTGAACGTCTGACGAGTCCCAAAATAGGACGGAACGCACGTCCTGGATCTCACTGCTAGCCACCATCCATTTCTGCTTGGAACCTAATAATGTCTACTTATTCGGCAAGGTTGTTTCAAGGATCTTTGCTTATACATTTCTTACGAATAATCTCAGCTGTTTGCTTAAATGTTGTTAGTGTTTTGCATTTAGTGTTTACACTTTCTATTGTACATTCATGTCAGTTTATTTCGAAGAACGAAAGCACAACCTTCTGATATATTTTTTGGTTGAGGTTATCTTCATCTGTCTTGTATGGACATGTCCAGTGTAATTCAGTTCTTCATTCTATATAAAAAAGATTTATATATATATATATATATGAATTGAAATCAAGTCTATGAAAATGGTACTCTAACATGTAGTACTCATTAATAAACGGGAAAATAACAGCAATTTCCGGATACAACGCATTCAGTGAGTTATAGACAACACCAATCTGTTTTTTATAGGTAAAATGGGTAGCTTTTACAAGCTGTTACTGCTAGAGTCGTGAAATTATCGCATGGCATCTTACTCTCATAAGTTGTTGCAATGAAATAGATTACGTTTTCCTAATGAAATTTGTTAAATTCCTAGTCTGTAATTGAAATCATGCCTATTGAAATTATATGGGATTTCATGGGTTTTTTTCTTTCTTCAATTTAGCTGTATCGACTTGAACTTTTCTCTCAGCTACCAATGTTTCAGTGTATCCTCAATGACGTCAATGAATTCAAAGATGTAATATTCCATTTAAGTGAAGACTATACATCAGACAATAAAATCGATCGTATTGAACAAACATTTTTCGCCTGTTTCAATAAATGTGAACATGAAACTTCATTAAATAGATCAATTATTCATTACACTGAACAGAAAATAATGACAATTATAAATGATTTTAATAACATTCTTACAGAATCATCTGTTTATCTAGTAAGTTAGTTGTATACAATGATGTTAAGTTAGTATTCATCTTTTGCACTCATAACACGTGAAATACCAATACGCGTGTGTCGATATACATATACAACGATCGTTAACGAAAGACTGAGGGTTCTTAGTTACGGTATGTATTATTCTGAAAAGAAATTATTTTTAGATAATCTACTGAAAATTTCGGAAGTAGATATTTTATACATTTTGCTTTTTACCAGTCAGAGATTACTTTCCATTTTGATCAATTAAGTGTTACTTGAGATGTCTTATGAATCAACTCAACCTGATAAAGTCTAATTCACTTTTTTTCAGTGGTAGTGATAACAAACAGGTTACAAGTCTGAAACCCGCTTCACTTCAGTATATCTGGCTCAAGGAGAGAGTATGAAAACATATATATGTTTATTAATTCCCGTTTTGTGATCATCATTGCACTGTAAAATATTACTATACTGATTGATCTAGATTGGAAATGACTCGGTTTAGAATTACGATATGATCTTACAATAGTACAGCCCCTATCTGTTTAGTCTTTTTATTAACTTGCTATATGTTCAGGCATAATTTTACTCTAAACAAACACGTAAGCAGGTACATCCAACTGACGAGTCCCAAATAGGACGAAACGCGCGTCGAACTGGATTCCACTGCTAGCCATCATCATCTCAGCTTATAGTGTCTGTAACTGAAGGCGATATTGAGGCAATTCGCACAGTATGCATATATGCCAATAAGAAACTGTTTAAATGCAGTCCTAAACATCAATCAGAAAATTTAACCAAACAATACCAAGTGAATTTAAATACGTTAGCTATTTATAAGCCTTTGCATTTTATGATTGTTGATGTAAAGAACTCCAAATGATCAGTTTGTGTTTGTAAACGTATATCATCAGCGTATTTCCACAATACTGGCACTTAGTTAAATACTTTTATTAATGTGGGGTTGCAGCTAACATGGTCAGCGTTTTGTCCTATTTGACACTCATCAATGGATTTACCTGGCTTCGAGTGTTTAAGCTTACAATAAGGCTTGAATGCAATACCTATCATTACAAAAGTTAACGAGTTATCTTCTATAAAACCTTAACTATTTGCATTTTCCTTCCATTTTCCAGTCAGCTATAAGAAATCGACTCATTGAAACAAATCAGATTTCAACAGTTCTAAATGAATTGTCAAATTTGCTAGATGAATTCAGCTGTTTAGATGAGAGATTTGTAAAAGATTGTATGATAGACGAAGAAGAATTGCCTGTTCATTGTACAGAAAACAATTTATCCCTTGTAAAAAACGTATATTTAAATAACTGGACGAAAGTAAAAATTCTAGAGGTATGATGAAATTTGTTTTAAATGAATATTCTTGTGATAGAATTAAATTGTTTGAAATAAAATTATTTTTAGTACAGGGTTGTGGAGGTTATTTAGTTTTGATTGTGATCATGAGTCTACCAACATTAGACCACCATTTAAAACCTGAGAGCACTGGACGGCCATTCCATCCTAGTATGAGACTCCTCATCAGTGCTCATTCACGAGCCCACACGAGGGATTCGGGCCGTGAGCAGTGGAGCTAATCCGTGCAGGTTATGAGACAGTCACCCACCGAAGACAATCGAAGATGGTCGCGCGATTTCGTGGATAGGTTGAGGTTAGACATCAACACCGTTGGATGACTGCTCAGTGGTTAAGCGTTCTCGCGCAAGGGATCGTGGGTGCAGACTACTGAGGAAAAAAAACCGCTCAGTATTTCCAGGTTATCAATGGTGGGCCGATCGATTCATGGTCTCAACAAAATTATTTCTGACATAACAGAATATATGAGTGTTTGTTATTGATAAAATTAGTGTTACGAAATGTATTGTTTGATTACTTCTCACAAAAAAGTAATTGCATGAATAGTGGAGTAAGATTATATAGTGCTTTTTTAGTAAGGAGTACAGGTCAGAATACGTCAAATACTCCAAACCATTTATAATATCATTCTCTAGTAAACAGTATGTTGTTTAAACTCAACATGATGAACGTTAATATATTGCAATGTCACTTATACTGCAGTGCATATGCTTCAGCTTCATCAATAAAAATCAAATCTCTACTAACCAGTTTATCCATGCCTTTCACTCATGACTATGAATGAGATAAGAAATCAATTTGAACAAATAAAATAAAAACCAGTACGTGGAATAGGGAACCTGATTCTAGAAAGCAAAATCAGTCAAATACCCTCAAAACAGTCAAAATATGAAAACATCGTGTTATTAATTACTCGATACAGAGACGCTTTTGTTACAATGGTTTTATGCTCAAGTGATTTGAGTTTCAGTTATTGAATTGGGACCGCTCTTCATATGCTTCGGTTTAGACAGTCGGTTAATATGTATATTCCTCACATAAAATGTGTATAGCTTAAAAACGAGTGCATAGATTTGTAATCGATGTGTTATATTACGCGGTATACATATAATGTAGTTAACAAATATCACTTAATTTTAATCTCTAGACAGTTGAACAATATTCTAAGTTCTAAGATTCTTGTTATTATTTTCATTACAGATGTGGCATAATGAATTAAAATCTATACAAACTCTACTTAAAACTATTTCAAATGATCGTTGCTTCGATACTGTTACTGCTAATAATAATAATAATAATAATACTGACAAAATGAAGATCGAGAATGATGTAAAACAATTGAAACTGAAAATTGAACAACAATCTTACCATTTAACAAAAAAGAAAACTGAACTGATCAATAAAATAAATCAGGTAACTTTTCTGAAAAATAATTTTAATATCCAGTTATTGAATTGGGCACTCTATTCTTTGTTATTCATGGTAGTTTATTTAATTGTCCAGTCAAACATTAACTATTTTTTTTTTGACAACTTAGTAATATTTTTCAAGCTTATTAGAAAGTTCAAATTCGTTCAAATAAATATTGGAGAACAATGAGTGTTGTGGTGGTCGGTATTCGATCTAATCCTTAAACTTCGTATACACTTCGTCTTGATAACTGTCCTATATAACGCCCCAAGGGTATATTAATCAGAAGGCGAATACGAAGTGTTGATTACGCTTATTACGGAACCATACACACATATCCAAAATTACAGATGCGTTAAACAAGCATAGAAGAGTTATGCCGAAAGGCAAGCAAGCGAGCGAGGAGTCAGCGAATATGAATACGAGCAAGCGCGTACAATTAAGTGAACGAGAGTGAGAGCAAGAGAGAGAGAGAGAGCAATGAATATGAATAACATGGACATATATATACATAGTGAAATGAATGAGTCATCGAATCAAATAAGTGGTTAGTAGTAAGACTAGCATAGTGAATAAATGCGTGGGGCGTAATATAGGACGATTATCAAGACGAACTGTATACGAAGTTTAAGGATTATATCGAATACCGACCACCACATAATTGGTGAGCCCGACGTGATCTGTTGTAGTGTGTTATACAAGTAATTTTCCATTCTATTCGGAAATTCGCATCATCTAGAGGTTCACAATATTTCTTAAGACGGTACAGATAATTTCAAGGTTGTCCCTTGAATAATGTTAGTCTTTGAATTATCGAGTTTGATATGATTATTTTATATATCTGAAAAGTCAATAAATCATGATTACAGAATAGGAGCCAAAAGTATTTTACGGAGTGCTTCTTATCTTTTCTCACATTTTGATCTTAGATAGATATGTATGTGTTTTTGATGGAGTTTTGTTCTCTGAGCTGGATGGTTTGGTCGTGGAGCTTTCATTGTTCTTCTAAATAGCATCATCAGTACAAACATTTACCTGAAAGCTCTACGATCAAACCATCCAACTCAGAGAACAAAACCGCATCAAAATCATCCATCTGAGCTACAAATATTCTCCACCGCATGTATGTGTTGATATTTTGAATAACTAAAATATAATCAATGTCAAAAATTGTAGGATTGATATTACACTAATTTAGAACGTTAGTATTTATTGATAGATTGTCAAAAATTTGATGTCATTTGAATAAATCCGGTGGTTTGTAAGCCGTTGACATATTATACAACATTCGCACAAATATTTTCTATAAACCACAACAATCTGCTTCTAGCTCCTTCGGAGAAACTGTAACATATGAGTTAAACCAAGTGGTAAATGATGTAATAACAGCGTTGATAACAGAGGGTGAACATAGGGACCCATCCTAAAATGCGATTGGTGTTCGAAATGTTAACTTTCATATTTCAACTTATTGACGGCTCAACGGTATCGTATTCATCGCGTGACCTGATGATTTTAAGTTCTGCTTAAGTGTTAAACCAAGATGAACTAGCTCCCCACTGTTTTATAACTTTCAATGATTTTTCAGAGATTGTCGATTCAGGATGGAAATTATATATATATATAAATCTCCGTAAAACTGTCGAAATATTACTCAGTGTTTTAATGGATTTAGTTATCGTATAATCTTAACATAAATGTTTGAATATCTTTTGGAATTCCTGTTGATGAGAATTTCATTGTTGTATGTATATGAATTGAATTTAAAAATTAAATAACAGTTGATCACATTTTAATGAAATTTAATCTTAAAGGTCCATACTTGTGACCCTAGAATCTTCAATCTTAGCCATGTGACAGCAGAATTAGACAATATTTGTAGGATTCAGATCGTGAAATTCAGGACTACTGAAGAGCCTCAATGTGAGGAAAAAGTTCTATTCTTTACTTTATGTAACTTCTAATGCTTTTACAATGTCAAACAGTTATAAAAATCATTTTAAAATAGACTAAGCTACTGTAAATCAGTACTTCAAACCCGAATCTTATTATACTGCTACGCCAACATTGAAGAAGTACCTACGTGCAGTTTTCATCCATTTTCTATGCTTTTCAATTTTTTTTTGACTACTAGCAAGCAGCTATTCGCATAGCGATGAAACATTTTGTAAGCTTGTTTGTTGTAATTATTTAGGATAAGCATTCTAAAAAAATGTTTACACATCATTATGCTGACGTTTTCCTTCATCAACACAACATCTACAGATCCGTTAAAAATTTGCACTATGTATGTTGTTGTCTATAGTGGTGGCATTTATTATCGTTGTGATAATCGTTATTCTTTTATTACACGCATGTCGGTTATATATATATATATATATATATATATATATATACATAATACGCACAGGTTTACGTTTTTGATGGAAATATCCACACCACATTGTCTAGTATAACCATAAACAGTACTTGCACAACCATTATCTCTACCTTGATCATCGGTATAGAAGTGCGTTTTCCGCTGAATTTTGATTGAACCCTTTCAAAAATATGAAGATCACTTTCTAATTTCTTCCAATTTTTTTTTCACAGATGGAATCAGTGAACGGTTTTGTATTCTACATATTCTCAACATTCGTCTATTGATTCTTACAGAACTACTATAACACTGACCTTTTATGAAAATATTTAGTTAGTCCCTACTTTTTCTATATTATGCAACGTTACAACTGCATGATTTTCCGAATAATTACTTTGATTATCATAATCCTCTTTCTTCCAATTACTTAATATAATTATTATGTAACTCAGCTACTCGATAAGTATTATTTCATTGTTGTAAATCATATATATATATATATATATATATATATATATATATATATATATAATATTAGTGTCGAGTCATGATGAGAAACTATTTGAAAAGAAATTTCTTCGTTCGATTCGTTCTTTTTACCAAATGTCAAGCTGAGAATTTTCACTATATTGAAATCGTATTTAGTTGATGAAATGAACATTAAGTAATTTCTTTCTTTCATCTTATAGGAAAATAAACTACAATCTTCAATTACTGCTTATTCTGTTTGGTTAAGTCAACTGAATGATAAGTTAATAAAACTTGCTAAACCAAATAATTTAACGTTGGATACAGTGAACAGTACATGGAAAGAATTTAAGGTAGGCTCTTTTCTTTTGTTTTTTTAGCAAATCAGTTAATCTTGTAAATTTATTGTGAATTTTCAAATACTCCACCTCAAAATAGGTGGGGTTTTGTTCTCTGAGCTGAATGGTTTGGCCATGGAGCTTTCATTGTTCTTCTAAAAAGTATCATCAGCACAAACTTCTATCAGCTTAGAGAACAAAACTTCACCCAAATCATCTACCTGAGCTACAAATCTTCTCTGCCATCCCACTTCAATGCAATATTTTGATGTTGTATATTTAAACTTTAAATGTCTATCTGGGACCTCAGTGCTTATGTCTGTTATATATATGATCACTACTAGTTAGCTGGTAATCAATAAACGTCTTTTATGTTGACCAAAATCTAAGTTAATCATATCACAACATAAATATTCATGATTACACTAGTACTGATAGTAGTTTGAATTTCTGATGGGGTAAAAGCTTCATTTAGTCCCTATACCACTCAAATATTTCCAGTAATCTGTATAGTACATGCATAAGGATAATTATTGTAGAATTAATACAATGAACTTTAACTAAAAATAGCTTTACATTGTTAAACATTTAAACGTTGTCAATAATCTAGTCACCATAAGTTCAAGTATAACTTAACATTTAACCATAATAGTTTTTCCATCATTAACATAAGATTAGTAAAAAAGTTTCTTACACATAGTTCCCTTTATTATTTTAAAGAGAGTAAGAACAAAGATTGGTGCAGAATAATAAATGAATTCATTTTATTTCGTCAGGTTCTCATCAGCTGCTTACAACCTAAAATATTTGAAATTCAACGTTATTATAGATATTGACATATTTATACATACGAGGGTGATGAGAGATGATTATAGGTATCTTGATGTAGTGAAGATTCCGATAGAGTTAATGAGGTCATAAAAATCGTTTGTTTCGGATAAATAAAGTTTGAGAGGGAAGGTTCCAGAACATTGAAATAGTGATTAGAACTCATGGAATTAAAAAACACGTTAGAAGTAACTGAAAATAGATTAATGGTAATAAAGAAAGGTATGAATTGAAATCAGTCAGTTATGAATGATGTAATTTTAAAAATTCAGAAAGAATTGCAATAGTGAATGACGTAATAAACAAAAAGGGGGGAGGGTCAATGTTACCAGAGCAAAGAAAGATTTATTACTGTTTCTTTTTGTATACATAGATCTGGTTTTAGACGTTTGATTGCTATCGCTTCGGCGAATTTCAAAAGGTTTGTGCTTGACTGTTTGTTAATCACCTTGGGAGAACTTCAATGTATCAACTTCATGTCCTGTATCAAGGAATGTTCTGCATACGATACTATTCAGAACGACAACGAAAACTTTAAAACGAATCAGTCTAGCTCAGAGATTGTAATCTGATCAAAATTCCACACTTGTTCGAGCTTTCTACATATACATGAACAAATGCAGATAAAGACAGCCAGTGTAGCAGCAGTCTCTGCATCAGTAGGCCTCAGCATACACAAGGGGAAAACTAAGGTCCTCAAATTCAACACGGAGAACAGCAATCCAATCACTCTTGATGGCGAAACTCTGGAAGACGCAGAACCCCTCATATATCTGGGAAGCATCATCGATTAACAAGGAGGCTCAGATGCAGACGTAAAGGCGAGGATTGGCAAAGCAAGGGCCACATTCCTACAATTGAAGAACATATGGAACTCAAGACAACTTTCAACCAATATCAAAGTCACAATCTTCAATATGAATGTCAAGGCAGTTCTACTGTATGGAGCTGAAACTTGGAGAACTACAACAACCATCATCAAGAAGGTGCAAGTATTTATTAATAGCTGTCTACGCAAGATACTCAACATCCATTGGCCGGATACCATCAGCAACAGCATTTTGTGGGAGAGAACAAACCAGCTTCCAGCTGAAGAAGAAATTAGGAAAATATGATGGAAATGGATAAGACATACATTACATCAAACTGCATCACGAGACAAGCCCTAACTTGGAATCCTGAAGGGAAGCGAAAAAGAGGGAGGCCAAAGAACACATTACGTTGGGAAATAGAAGCAGATATGAAAAGGATCAATAGGAACTGGAAGGAGCTGAGAAGGATTACCCAGGACAGGGTTGGATGGCGAATGCTGGTGAGCGGCCTATGCTCCTTCACGAGGAGTAACAGGCGTAAGTAAGCAAGTAAGTTTATATATATATATATATATATATATATATATATATATATATATATATATATATATATATATATATAATTCCTGTTTTATTTCTTCAATCTTTCCGTTTCACTTTTACCATTATTATTATTATTATTATTATTATTATTATTATTATTATTATTATTATTATCAACAAACAGGATTGGAATTTAAAATCACTCAATGAAAGCAAATTACGTATAAATAATTTAATAAAACAATTACCTAATTCAATATTCAATGATATTTTTAAACAAGATAAATCGTTATTTACAAATATTGAAGATTACATTTTCAATAATATGAATATATTCAATGAATTATATCATCAAAATTCATTATTATTATTATCACCATCATCATCATCATCATTAAGAAACAACAACAAGATTAAATCTCATTTAGAATTAACTATTCTACGTATATTAAGACAATATATAAAATTTCAATTACAAAGTATAGAATCAATGAAATTATGGAAAGTTCATTTGAAATTTATAAAATACTTTATAATAAATAGAAAACAATTACAATTATTATTTAATGAAATTCATGGTAGTTTATCAAAACTTTATAGACCATCAAAATTAGTTGGATGTTGTACAGAACAATTAAATAGTGTAAAGGTAATGTTAAATACTTTTAGTACAATTCAGTTTTATTTTAACATTGCTTTATGGTGATTTATTTATCTGTAGGTTTGGCTAGTGAATGCTTCATTTATCATATATTGCTAAACATTGTTAGAGTAAAGTAGTTGGAAGTAGGTAGTAAGAAACGTTGTATCTAGGTTTCATGATAGTTAGTACTAGTTATAAGGGCCAGTATGTAATTTTGAAGGGAACCGATGCCCTCTGTGGGATCGAAACCTTAGTCGCCAAGTTTCATAATCTGATACTTCATTGTTGAGTTCTTTAATTTTGAACTGACCTCTTATAGGAATGAGATATTTCCAATTAACTAACAATTGAGTAGTGACCAATATTTAGTCCTTTTTAGTGTTGATCGAATTCTATCGGTCAGACAGATATGTGCTCATTGATCTTAGTGGCTCGAAATCTCATGCACTATATTGAGTTGTCAGGTATTTGAAGGTTGAATTCTCTAGTCTTCTCTGATATTGAAATTCGGACTTATACCAATCAAGATGTTATCTTGAAGAATGAACTTTACTCCACTATAAAAGTTTTTTGTAGGCATCAATGCCTAATTTGGACTTGATAGTTTCAAATAAACTGAGTATTTGTTAGAGAGTTAATAACGAATTTTTTTGTAACATCCTAATGAGTAGAAAATTGTATTTCTGACATTTTGTGACTTATAAATAACCGACTTAAATTAACACAAGTTGAAGTAGTACATAGGAACTATGTAAACCTATGTTAATTTTCTTTTGGTTATTTATTTACTCTGACAAAGTGGTCTACACCAAGTCAAGGAACGTCAGAAATACAATTTTCTATTCAAATCACAACAAAAAAGTATATATTTATTTCAATAGTTGAAATCATGAGTCAGTTGAAGCTAGACCACTATAAACGGATTTAAATATATACACGAATTAATTTAAAGCAAGAAATGATATTTACATAATGTTCCGTTTACTCATGGACACATTGATTGTTCCTGTGGCGGAGTAATTCACCTTTAATATTGTTATTCATCTATTTTAATTACTACAGATACATATAATTACAGTTTATTGGAAATTGATTTTACTTCTAATAGCACTAATACTAGTTGTTTTTATAATGCTTTATTTTTGTAGAATGCTATTCACCAACTGAAAACACATGAAAGATTAGCAATTAATCTTTATAATTCTCTACCATTAATCAAATCTCTATGTCATCCTATAGAAGTATCACAAACAGTAGCTACTATTAATACAATGAAACACAATTTTACAAGTCTCATGCGTCGAGCAATAGAACGGCGAAAAATTCTTACTCAAGCATTAAAAGAAGATACTAAGGTAAGTAACTTGTGACTATAAACGTATATTAAAATTACCTATACTAGGTAATTGTATAAACCGTAGGGTAGTTGAATAGGATTGAGGCTTACGATTTACTGCTTGACAGTTTTCTCTAGGCCGATAAGCCATACATTTCACGTTATGGTCATGAATTTATTTAAAATTGTGTTGTTGAGTTTTCTAACCATGATTATGTCTTTAATGCTGTTGTGTTAAGATCACAAAACTAGGAATTAAAATCGATAGTGATAACTATTAATATTAAAAGATTAATTTTATTTCGATAGAGCAATGTTCACTGAAGTCTCCAGTTATACAGAGATTACAGTAGCAATAGGAAATATTTTTGTGGTACATACTTTTAGACTGCCATTTCTTGTCTGTAAAATACATGTTCTAGTTTTTTGATACGGTGCTACTGCGGTTTTGAAAACGTCTGAATCACTGTATGATTCAAGCCAAAAGTTTTTAATAATTAGTATTTATCTACTGATGAGATAACATGTTTATACCTATGACAAACAAAACAGTAGCTTATTGTTATATTGTTCATAATGGTTTGTAAAGCAATGTTCATACATTTTCCAAACCTTTTACAGATTTGTACGATTGTTTTCTGCACGATAACTTTCCACTCAAAACCATCCCTTTTCGATATACTAAAAGTTACTTGATCATTGTATTTGTGAAAAAGTTTTCTTATAATCTCTTTTATTTTATATGTGTTTAAAAAAAAAACATTTTCAGTTTGATGTAGCGTATTATAGTTTATTAAACTGGTTCTTAACCAAACTGGAGATACTCGAGGCCTTTGAAACACGTACAGTATATGATGAAAACAGTCAGTTGTCACTTAAAACTTTGGTAAGTTTAATATCAATTTACTAGTTGTCTTACGATTATCCAGAAATTGAAATGAAATATAATTTTTAACTTTCTAGAAAATTTAGGATACACCCTCATTTAATAGAACAATATCTTTGTTTTTCCATAAATCTATCATTTTTCATTCAGATTATGTAAGATGAATGCGGAAGCTATAGCAGCTCTTCTACAATCAATTTCGATTGTGGTTAAATTTTGTTAAACCCTTTTATTTATTTACTTAACAGACAATGTTATTCGAACAGTAACAATTCACATATTTCTTTGTACTATTATGATCACCGTCTTGTCTCTATAAACGTATACTCTTGATCGTATGACAGCCTACGCACATATCCATCTAGATTAAGTGTTAATAGCTTAAATATCGCGCGATGAATCATTCTCTTTCCCATGTATATATGTACTTGAATCTTATTATTAGCCTTTGCCTTGCCTAGTTGCACCTTATTCTGTTTGACTATACATTTGCCTCTGTATTTGCTCGTATACACATATTCGCCTCTCTGGTCAAAACTAGCTTGGTAGGCTTGTAGTTTTATGATCCGTGCTATCCGCTAATAAACTGTAGCCGCCACTTCTTATTGCCTTCTGATTTCAAACACCGTTGGGATTTATATAATAACATTTGTCAAGGTGATTGATTAACGAAGCTAAGCCACAACAATGCAACGCGTTTCTGTATTATCTTAGATTGATGTAATATTAACTCCGTGAATTGAAAAAGATTGTTATGATGGTGGCAATTTATGAGGATATACTTTATTGGTATTTCCGTATAGTGTTGAGAATTGTCTTTTTTGTCCAATTATTTAAACTAAACAAGTTTGTGATTAAAATGTGTTTAGATTTAAAATGATCTCGAATTGTTTATCTGAATAAGTAACAAAAATTTCCGTTGATTACGATTGGGACTGACGATAATAGAAGAGTAAATACCATTAAGATTTCTTCATTCAAATGATTTATAAATAACAAACGAATTAATTTTGACTAAGATATCTAATAGACTACATTTTCATAGTATCATTACTCAACAGGAATGTTGTCCACTTATTCTTTGTCAGTTATGAAAATGATATCTAAGCTGTTAATCATGAAAATAATGTGTGTTTTTTTTAAAGAAATACCTTGATTTTCCTATAGTAATTGTCACTGAGACAGATACATTTAGAAAAAAGTCTCATTTCTTTAGCATAACCTTTAACGAATTTCATTCATTTACTAAAAAGTAACTAACCTCTCATTGTCCTTAGGGCTGATACATTCCATTTGATCAATTTCGTATTATATCTATTTGAGTAAGATAACATTAACATATATCACATTTGATACAGTTGTTCTTTATTTCTTACAACTGATCTGATCCTACTAAAGATTATTTTGTTACCCGTTCACTTCATTAATAACATAAATGACTACTATACTAAATGATACCAGTCTGAATAATTTACATATACACTTACAAAGAATAGTCTTATTCATTATTGAATATCAACAACAACAAAAAGTCAACCTTATGAGTAACAGACTTGTTAGAAACGAAACTAAATGGATAATAAAAATATTATTATATAATTCAATTTATAAATTCTAGTTAGTATAAAGAATGTAACTGTTTTTATCGACTCCAAATTGAATAAATAATATAGAGGTGAATGATGAACTCCAACTTGTGAAAATAAAACTTATCGTTGTTTATTTAATGATCATGTGCATGAAAGTGAGACCCCATGGTGTCGTGGCATGAAAAAAAAAAGCTGCAAAGGGATGGCTTGTGTTAGTCCTTCACGACTCCCTGGCTAGGGTCCGAGAGATGGTGCTACACTGTGGCTAGAGACATTATCAGATATGGCTCAGAATAGAAGCCAGTGGTGATCCTGCTGTAACCTACTTTTACTTTCTTCGTAAAAAGTGGTTGTTTCTTTCTTAACTGAAAGATTTCCTCCGATTGTACCTTTCCGTCCCCCCATTATTACTATCATTATTATTACACTACCTTACACCAATCTCTTCGTTATCGTTCTCTTTTTTCACGCTTCTTACCTTTTTTCTTCTCTTTAAATTCTCATTGTCTTGTGTGGCGCATATATATTTGGCGCACTCTTGTACCAATATTTATGTGTTCAAATAAATAAATAAATAGCTTTATTGCATAAGAAAACAAGCATCAACAAACTCTAATACGGATAAAACCGGTTTGAATTTCCACTGAACACCAATCCAAAATGTTCTAAACTATACTAACTCATCGTTTTAGTTTGTACAAAAACGATGATAGTTGTGTTTCATGTGTAACTTAGTAACACCGAAACTATATTCTATGTGTTTAACTTGATACATATGCCTAAATACTATACATAGCTAGTAGTTTGAAAATATTTATTAACAATTTCATTCCTAACCTTTTATTTAACATATTTTCATAGCATAGAGAATTTCATGAACAACAATCGGATTATCATTTGGTGATGAGAATGGGCAGTAATCTACGTGAACGTTGTACATGTACAGATCCAGAAAAGAATATTCTAAATGAGATGCTTGAAAAACTTCAACTTGTCAAAGGAAATTATGGGAAACGTCTGTCGAAGTGGTAAGAATCAATTTAACAATCACCGTCCATTATGTATATTCGAATTTTATGATGCATTTCGTACTTGAACATTTAAACAATGACTTTCTGTGTCCTAGTTTTTAACTTTCAAAATTCGAGCATAAATTAAGAGAAATAGTAGTGTGAAAAGTTTTGATTCGAAGGTTTTTTTAATGTAAACTAAACTATATGTGTTTACATGTGACGTTGACATTCTAGAAGCCTTTAAAAGTCAGCCAAATCTAATTAAAAAGTTGGTAAGTATCCAATTAAGATATGAAAAAATCAACCGTTCTCTAAAATTCTCTTGAGAGGTTCAAAAGAACCCTGACTAAACAAAATATACTGAATATTCTTTCAGCGTCTGAAACCCTTTTCAAGAAAATGCTGAAGGCTCCCAATATTTCCTTAGTTTGAAATATGTTACGTATTTTGCTTTAGAAAGTACCAATGCATGATTATAATTTTGATTAACGTAGAGCCTTTTATACGTTAAATCATCTAAGGTCACAACTACATCATGATCAATGATGGAACAGTTGACAAGCCTATCTCTAGTGAATTGTACTATGATTCATTAAAGGAAAGTTTATTGCGGCTTCATACTCAATATAATTGTAAGACATTTTAGTGCATAGTTATATTAAAGATGGAATAAATGTCCACTTTAATTATATCATATATATAATTGATATGATATATGGTATTTATTATTAATCAAATGTTATGTAACGATGTCGTGAAGATTATGCTCACTTTGAAATCATTCTTTATCACAAACTGACATGAGTTGAAGAAGCATTGAATATTGAAGGTTATTGGATAGCTATTTGAAGCATACTAATAACCTCATACTTAATTAAACTTAAGGCGGTTAATATTTATGCATACAGACGCATCAGCTCATCTGTCTCCATGTTAGAATTATTACATGTAGGAGAATCTGAAAACACGATGAGTTCACATGAAAAAGGATTGATGTCTGAATTACACAAATAGTTGTAAAATGATTGAATGTTTTTGTGATTGGAGGATAATAAAGGATTATTTAATTCATAATACTGAGGTCTTTTAAACACATAGTGTTTACATTTTAAACCACATCGTTTTTTATATGTCCTGGTGATACTATTCAACCGTTCTAAACAAGTCAGGTGGAACGGAAGTTCAACCTGTAATCTGCTAGCTGTGTACCTTAAGCAGTAATTAAGTTCACGTGAAGAATTTTGTCGAGATCGAAAACAAACTATCATTGATTTTTATCTGTATTAATGTTAATAATTTGAACTTGTACTTTTTTTAATCTAAGCATTAAATTATTATAGGGTTGTGAAGATTGTTGAGTTTAGGCTGATATCATGAATCGATCAATGTTAGACCATCATTGAAAGCTTGTAAGCACTTAACGACCGTTTCGCTCTTGTATTGGAATCCTCAGCAATGAGAAGAAATTAACCTATCATATAGTTTTTTAAAAGCATTTCATTGGTTTAAACTCTTCAGAGTTCTCTTCACAATTGTCTTATTTGACCGACTGTAACTTCAAGTTTTATATACTATCCAGATAGCTAGTTCAATATTAATATTCCTATATCAACCTCAATTTCTTCCTTTCACATCTTTATTATTATTATTATCATTACAGTGAGTTCAACTAATCCATCTTTATACGACCCCATTATATTAGTAGTAAATGTCTCAAGTATATGGGTAAGAAAAACTTTCGATCCAGTAGAATATTGTGTTGTATAAGTGAATATCATATGAATATTTATTTATTTTCAGAAAAGGTTTTGTGAATATTATAGTAATTTCAAAAGCTGAAATCATGAGTTAATTGAAACTAGACCACCATACAAAACCTGGAAACACTGGACAGCTATTTCGTCCTATTGTGAGACTCCTCAGCAGTACGCATCCACGAGGAGTTCCATAACAGGATGAAACGGTCATCCAGTACTTCCAGGTTTTCCATGATGGTCTAATTTCAATTAATTCATGATCTCAACTATTGAAATTTATTTATTTTTTATTTGTGTTAATTGAATGTGAATTTTTTGTTTGTTTGTTTAATTACTGCATCTAATTCTCTTTGTTTATTTATTTGTTTTTCTCTAAAGTTTTATATGTGACAGGTTATTTTTGTATTATGATCTTACGGTTTTTTTCATAAACATGCATGTTACATAAATAAAATTAGCCTTTTACACATGTATATTTATGCACGAGATGTAGATAAACTGTGGAAAAAAAACCTAAAAAGTTTCTTAGTTTATAAACAAATGAACACTTTTGTATACTCAAAAAACAAACAAACAAACACACATTGTACCGTATTTATTTTTTTTACTGTTTACAAGTTAGTTGAAACCAACTTTCATGATTCATGTATTTGAAGTTGCTGTTTTTTCTTATCAAAAAAAACTAACTAAATAATTATTGAAAACAATTGAGCATTGATAAAAGTCCAATATAGTTTTTGAGCATGAAATGGATATTATTGATCTTAATTGATAATGGAATATCACAAACGGAATGCTGTTAGAGAAATGTGAATGATTAGATACTAATTTATTTACATATACTTAATGAGGTCGCCATGATTTTTGACTTTCCTGGTGTTGTGATGAGTTATTTCTGAAGAGATGAAGTCTCGTATTTGGATGTAAAAGTTATTCAAATCTTTCTGATTTCTATCAGTATGAGGTTGTGAAGATTGTTGAGTTTTTGGTTGAGATCGTGAATCGATCAATATTGTTATTTTTTAAGCGTGTAAATTTTACCTTGCCACTGACCATTTCGAGTCCCTCTCAACCATTTTTATGTTTAGACACATTAGTTGTTTGTGCACACTAAGTAGGTTCAGCTCAAAGTATATTGCATGGTTGATAAGTTATGCTATTGTTACATACTTTGTTAAATAAATGAATTTATGATTAACATTTTACTCCCTATTATTAATTTAGACTACACAATGCGAAGCAAATACAATGTAGTTTAATTTTCGCTCTATAATAACTCTTCCATTACATTCTTTATTAAAAGAAATTCTTTAATAAATAATATGTTGAATGAACCCTGAAAAATGTTGGTTAAGATTAATTAGAGTCAAATTACTGAAAACTCTTTCTCAGTTTTTTGCTTACGTATTGTTCATAAGCTTATTAGTGTCAACGTGTTGTTCTACTGACTATTAATTGATAAGCTGGAAGAATATTTTAATTAAATTCGATTCGTGCTCCTGAATGATTTAAATGATCCAACCGAACAATTCACTTGACAGTTTTGGATCAATCATCGCTTGTGGTGGAGAATGTTCAGCTTGAAGTTAGATTTCATCATGAACTGAAATCATTTGTAGAGGGATCGTTGAAAACTAGGACACATTGAACGGTTATTTCATCCTTGTCTGAAACTCCATTAAATAAAAACGTCCAGACATCGGTTAATTGTTGTCACTCAGTACTTTTTCAGATACACATAATTGAAGATTTTATCGGAAAGCCATCTTTATTCATTATACACTCATTGTTATCTATTTGTGTCGATTCATTTGATTACAACAACAACAGTGAAACTTTGTCAGAAAATGAAATTAATATATTCTCTATATGTACTATTTAACTGATATGATATTCATTAAGATGGATTTGATGTAGTTAACTTATCTAACTTTTTCGTTGATTATTCAAGACAATTCTCATTCTGTCGATATGTGTGCTTCCACTTGTTTTCAGAAATTTGTACTAAATATTTTGCTTAGATTTATATGCTAAGTTTTCATTTTAATAAGTAGTAATTGTGATATAAGTCGGTCTACATCCTAGATGAAAACTTCAAATGACTTAATTTCTTTGATAATAAACCAGCTAAACTAACATTCTATACAGATTGTAAGAGTTTGTCCTATTGTTAGTGTTCGGAATTGAATTTAAACAATCTGTATTCGTATTTTGTCTCATTGAACGTATGGTTCTATATCGCTTGCATATTTTAAAGTGATTTTATTTTGGACACCGACAGGTGATGGAATCTTCCAGGACACGCATTTTATCTTGTTGAAATAAGTACCTCGCTCATTCAGCATATTGGTAGCTGTCACGACTCCATAGCCCAGTGGATAATAGGCTAACACTTGACGCGACACGTATTTGATTTTTCTCTTATTTTGAAAATCAACGCTAAGATGCAGATAAATTTAGCCATGATAAGTTCCTGAATAAGATGAAACACGTACTTCTTGAAGCCTGAAATTCACATCTTTTATACCTTTATTCTGAATTGAATACTTGTAATAAATAAAGAATCTATCTTCGCGATAAAATTTTCACAACCTATGGTTTATGAGTTGTGTTGAAGGAAAGTCACCGATATATAATTCGGAAATGAGATATGCTCTTTTGTATTCATTCTGTGTTAACTAAAGGAATGATGCATATTTTGAAGGCTAATTTGAGCAATTTGTTTATGATATTCTCGTATTGAAAAAGTGTCATTTTATTTTGTCTCTGCCACTAATTGTTGTCTACATATGTACTGTGTTTTATGTTTAACTTTCATAGTCAAATTCAACTTAGTGAAATGTTAATTACAAAACGGAATCCTAAATCCGCTCTATCTCGCTTAAATGAATGGTTACAAATGATCGAAGAACATTTAGGCATTGAAAATACTCTTAACATTAAACATATTACTAATACTGATACCACTACTGTCAGTAGTTCTATTAAACCATCAGGAAATGATCAAAGTGAAACTGACAATTCAAATGACTTATTATCAACTAATGTTATAAGATTGTTGGATAATTTAGCTAATCCAGCTCAGTACACGATGACTATTTTCAACTCTAAAGAGTATGAAAACATTGCTTCTGTTTTGGGTGATATAATTTTCATTCAATCATTAAATTCAAATCATTTGGTAAGTACACTTGGTATTGTTTGTTTGAATTTTCTCATCGATGTTTAGGACTATAATTGATCAGTCTCTTATTGACATATGTGCATACTGTACGGATTTCCTCGATATAGCCTTAATTCACAAGCATTATATGCAAAGATGGATAAGTAGTAAGTGGTAAGTAGTAGTATCAAAATATGGAATTAATTAAAAGGAGTCATTTAACTATCAAATGATAACTCTTCTGTGAAAAAAAAAACTATGAAACCTGGATTGAATGTAAATATAAAATTTAATATGCTCAGTAGTAATTTACTTTAATTTCATGAATTTGTTTAAAGGTTGAGTAATTTTTACAATATCCCCACCTTGTTGAAAGTGATATAAATAATAGTCCAATTTCTTCTACTGGAAGCTCATCTGATCCAACGTTTAGTTGTGGTCTATCAAGAAATATTTCTCGTTTATCATTCAACTATTTTCCTTCCTAATAACATTGTCTCTCCAGTTCATGTAATATGAGAATACAAAAAAACTTGAGATGCATAATTCTTGCAATATTTATTTGATCGTAACAACAAAATAAATAGTTAAGTGTCATCCAGGAGAAATAGAATTTTAATTAATCCAAAAGAAGAGTTTATTTGCAAATGAATCATCAGTATTATCAATGGGTAGTTATACGATAATCTTATCAAAAACATCATTGTATAGCTAAAACATGTTTTTAGCTAAATAGAAATATTCATACCATTTGCTGACCAAAAATATTGTTATATAATCCATTTTTCAAATGATAGTCAGTCCGCTTCATATAGTCACTGGTCATTAGGAATATAACAGAAATATTTGATAGTTAATGACGATTTTTAAGTGACAACACTTATGATCAATTGTTTCGACGTAATTTGCACATATCTCTAGACGTTAAAGAGTATTCACTTGGTATTGTTTGGCTTGTATCTTCCCATTGAGTTTTTTTACAAGCCAAACAATACCAAGTGAATTTAAATTCATCCCATTGCACAAGCAAGTGGCTATCAGGACTCAGTAGCTGAGTGGATAACGAGATGGCGTTTGAAGCAAATGGTACTCGGTTCGAGTCCTAAAGTGAACATCAACTCTGAGATGCAGGTACATCCGGCTGACGAGTCCCAAATAGGACGAAACGCGCGTCCTCGATTCCACTGCTAGCCACTATCCATCACTATTAAAGAGTATTATTCCATTTGAACTTTACAGTGATAAAGTTGTATTATACTAATAGAAACGGATATCGTGTTGTTATGGTTTCATCGTTGACTAATCTTAACTGATCGAGATTGTAGTGCGTTCACTACTTTAAATAACTATTTATTTAAACGAAAATTTGTAGATCATTTGTTCTTTGTCTAGTTAACTAATTATTTGCTTTTCGGATTATATCAATTAGGTATCATCTGAACGCATATAATGATACTAGTTGTTTTTATTTATTCAAAATATGGTTTTATGTTAAATTTAAACAAACTTAAAATATATTTTCACTACTCTTTGTCAATACTGTTTATGTGCTACTTATTGGTTATTACTGATACAAATCTTAAAGAAGGTACTTTTGTTTGAAAAGTACTTTTTTTAGTTATTATTACTGGAATTTTAACAAAGAGTTTGAAGTTATTATTCAGTTATCGAAAACATCTACTTCGCATACTGTTTACATCCGTAAAATGAAAAGCGATCACTAGTTTGCAGGTAAATTTAGCTGACCAGTCCGAAACAGGATCAAATACACATCCTGGATCGTACTGCTGTGCACAATAACACATTAACACTGTTGGATACTGGCTCAGTGGTCTAAAGGTGTTAAGCGTTTGCGCGCGCGACTTGAAAGCCCTGGGTTCGAATCCCACGAGTCGGATCGTAGATGCACACTGCTGAGGAGTCCTACCATAGGGCGAAACGACCGTTCAGTGCATTCAAGTTTTCAATGGTTGTCTACCATCATTTGGTTCATGATCTCAATTAAAAACTCAATAATCTCTACAACTCTTATACTAACAAAATAACTATATTAAGGCAATCGACTTAGGATAGATTTGTGACAATAGAGATTGATCAGTTGTAATTGCGAATATCAACATTCGGAAATTACAAACCCTTACAAAATATTTCTAAAGATTTATTTTCTTAGTTATATTCTTGTTTTAATCATGATTTACTTTCATTATTTTTCTTCAACAACAACACAAAATGAAAGATCTTAGCTGAAGATTTACGAGAACATGAAAAATTATATCAGATACTTGTAAAAAATGATCACAACAATAATGATGAGTTCAATAAACTTACATATCGTTTTATACGATTAAAACAAGCGTTCAATCTACGTGAAAAATGTCTTCAAGTAAGTAATATAAAATGTTTTCTAGTGTTGTTTTCTATAAATAAAAATAAATGAACACATGGAAATCTTTCCCTACGGTTATTACCTAAATTCAATCATGATGTATATATAGTCGTGATCAATATTCATAAACTTATTATTCTGAATAATAATAAATATAATTAGACTGATTTATGGAATATTAACTTATATCATTGAGTAATAATGATACACACAGAGTGTAGTGAGATTAAGATGACAAACTATTTGGTAACTTTAAGAGATCTACTGTTTCAAGAATGGGCTTCAATCAATATATTAATTGCTGATTTAATTCTAACTAGAGACTGCTGGTTGAGTTATGATAACTGAACAATTCGGATTATAATGAGTTAAATCGTTTTTGTTTTCATTTCCTTGTGAATGTCGATAGTGTATTAGTAACTTGAAGGGCTTGTTCATAATGGTTGATTAATGGGAAGATAATTTTTACGGTAGAGTGACTCTGTTTATACAACTACTGAAAGCCAGAGATTTTTAGTCAACTGCTTCCTCTTGTAAACGGTCTCTTCGGAGCTATGCCAAAGTGCACAAAACTTAGTGAAAAGCCATGACTGGTAGAATTCAGTCATCTCAGGACTGGGAAAGTTATCCTCGATAGTAATGAATAAATGTTGCGCAGTATCATGAATTGACTGAACTTAATAGTATGAACAACTGGATAACAATTCAGTATTCTGAAGACTAAAGTCTCGAGGCGAAGACTGCGTCATCCTGTGTTTCATCATTGATGGAATCCTATCTAAGAATTAAACAACTAGTTATCTTATTTCTGGTTATTTAGCTAAGTATCTACCTGTAATGTAATATACTTTCAAACTACTATTATTATTTTAGCTAACCGTTAGACCTGATCCCCTCCTTTCCAAATAATGTTTACAAATATTCTTCCTTTTCTCTATGTGCATTTTAGATCGCTGTTGATGCTGCCTTAGAACTAAATAAAAACTATTCGAATTTAATTAGTTGGTTATTAGAAGTAACCAATAAATTGAATAATAAAGAAATTGAACTTGCTTACGTTACTAAAAATAAGGAAACTGTTTTACAAAAACAAACATTGTTTTTCCACTCCGCTGATCAATACAAAATTAGATTGAATATGTACGCAAAAATACATCACCAACAAATCCACATATATCGACCAATATTCAATGACTTTGAAAATGTATTAAAACGTGTACTTGCTAAACCACAAGTAGATAAACATGAAGAACAGAATGTTTCTGTTTACTGTTACTCGAAATGTCGAAGGCAATTCATTATTCAATATAAACAAATTGTGAATTTATGGCATAAAGTAAGTTCTTCCTTATTGCTTTCAACATGAAGTATTAAATAGTGGTTGGTAGTATACTTAGAATGATTGTAAAATAAGTAAGGGGACTTTTGTCAGTTGGTCAATCACTTAACTGCAAAACTTTTGACTGTCGGTTTAAGGTTGTATCAGGAAGTATACGGTGTAAACCTTATAAAAAATTAAAGACTTTATATAATATCCTACAGAATCGATCTCAATGCTATCGTCCTTTAAAATTATGAGTTTCAGCACTATCTTATACTTCTTTTGGCTTACTGCAGCAATAATGTGCTACAAGTTAGATCGTTACATATTTGTATCAAGTTGAGTCATTTGTTTATGATTGACTTGATACATTATTATCAGTCGCTTAATCATCATCAATATAAACCCTGACAGAGTTGTAAATGAGCACAAGCTACAATAGTGCAGTTAGTACGACGAAATAAATCTGGAAGAAAATAATGGGTGAGTGGATTTGCTCGATTATGAATGATTTTGAGTTGTACCAATGATTTCGGGATACGTACATTCGATTTTCAATATTCATTTTCATTCAAACATATACAATAAAATAATATTAATTTAATATTTGTTCCCAATTAATACTGAAATTAGGACATTACTCCCATTACTCTTCATTTGTGCAACACGACATGTAAAAGTCGAAGAAATAAGTAAGCTGCAACTATTTTATCACAAATATCACCAAACCAACAATTTCAAAGTTTTATATTTGTATCTTGTGTAATAGTTGATTTCAATATCAGATCATCTTAACTGTTATAAGTATGATGTAATTCAAAGTTTGAAATGAAACTTTGAAAGCATGCAACTAGAAATTCATTCTATGATTATTTTATATAAAACTCATTGTTGTTATTACATATATTTTACGTTAAAATGACTAAAATTATAGTTTATAATACAAACAATTAACTGTGGCATGCAAAGTTTATCCAAGTAATTAAGTATTGTGGTGTCGGTTACTATGTTAAGCCCATATGCCTTATTCTAGCTTTCGGACAAACCAACCTGTTCATTCTACTTGAGTCACATTTTGACCTTGTTAATTATTCGCTTATCAATCTTGACTTTTTATATGAGTGCGGTAGGTGTGTGTACACTTCTTATCCCATTCCTCATCACATGTTTGTAACCTATTTTTGTGTGACTATACATATTGATTAATGCTTGGTTGAATGGGTGTTGGCTTACTAGCTATCTCAACTACGCATCCATTCGCTTCATTTACAAAATATATGTATTCAAAAGTCCATTCTCATTATTTGACTTATTTAATTCCGTTATTGATTAACGTGATTTAAGTCGATGATTATATACGAGGATAGGCGACATATATATTTTGACAACGATCATTCATGCGATCTCCTTGGGGTCAGAACGTGGGCCACTAAAGCGAAGAGCCCGTCAACATACATCATCCAATCTAAATGACGACAAAATAAAGGGCTCCACTAAAGTACAATATTGTTCTTTTTTACTTAGTATTGTGGTTCGTGCTACTTATATTAATATAAGTAGTATATAACACGGGTTAAAGAACTTAATGTCTGGCAGCAGAAGATGGGGTAAGATCAAGAAAGGAAAAGCGCGAACACGATGCAATTTGTAAAAAAACGCATGAACAATGAAATCTGAGTCAGTGGATTGATGTTTGCAACAAGAACAGTCCAGATTGATATGATGGATTGATATTTTGCAAATTGGTGATTTACTATATGGTTTTTTCCATTTTACCAAGTAACTCTGTAATTTCTTGCCAAATACAATTCCGTTGTCCCCACCTGTGTTCCCCTTCACTACAGTATTACTATTATCTTGTAGCTATTATTCACCAGTTATTTGGTAAAACAATTAACTACGCATAGTGATAAATTTAACATTATCAGTCTATTTTATTGTATGCTCTATGTTCTCAACTATTCATATTGTTATATATTAGCAGTTCTAACTATCTAATCATTAAAAATTCTTAATTATCACCTTATTTAACTAACATGAATATGTTTATCATTGAAACAAAGATATCAAAGCGGTTTCAGGTTATGGAAATGATTTGCGATTATTTTCAAATCATATCGTGTAAATTATAAATAACTATTTAATAAAGAAATAAGAAATAACACTTAGATGGTGGCTGGAGGTAGTCGACAGGAAACATTGGACACGGGTTTCGTGCTACTTGGCACTCGTCAGCAAGGTGTACCGATAATCTTGAGGGAACTAGTGCTCCCTGGCGTCCTCGATCTTGTGTCACCCAGCTTCACAGTCAGAGACGTCACCACTAAGCTATTCGAGCCGCGACCGACCTCCTGTAGAAATAACACTTGTTTATTTAAATAATCTGATTATTAATAAACTATAAGTCCTACCTCTTGTTTACTTGACAAATTTATCATTTCGTTTAAAATATAAAAAAATTTATTAAATTTTGAAAATTGATTTGGGAAGCAAAATTTTGAATAGTCACTACTTTTTGTGACTAGTATCATCAATGTATGAATGTAGCTCAATGAATCTATAACTTTCTTAACAATTTTCTAGATCATGAGTTTCAGTACGTCTTCATATATACATACATACATTTTCATCCCAATAACTTTAACTATCTTCTCAATGTTCAATTGTTCTTATTATGATTGCCATTACATTTATTCTATATCTTTTCTAATCATCGTTTCAATATGGTAACTTGAACCAACGAGCATATATATATATATATATATATTTCACTGGTTGAAATCATGAGTCAATTGAAGTTAGACCACCATGGAAAACCTGGAAGCACTGGACGGCCGTTTCGTCCTAGGTTTTCCATGGTGGTCTAACTTCAATGGACTCATGATTTCAACTAGTGAAATTTCTAAAATCTCCACAAAACCCATTCTGATATATATACCAGGCTCTATACTAATTATGACTGCCTAACTCTCAAATAATCTTTTGTTGCTCTACTAAACCTTTGTTGTTATTTTCTAATTAATCGTCATGATTCAAGTTTACCTATTTCAGTAGGTTCAGTTCGATGGATTTAAAAAAAAAACTATATCTTAAAAATATCACTGTTTGCTTATGTTGATAAAAGTAGGTATTGATTCGTGTATCGTATAAAAGTAAATGTGACAAACGTTTATTTCTTAAGTTAAATTACTTTATAATGACAAAAATAATTCAAAATAGCCTGAAGTAAATTGAAATTCGTTGTGGGATTGATAAAGTGAAATTTAAAGAAAACTTATGTTGTTTCATTAGTTGAATTAACCGCTTCTGTCACTTACATTTTTAACCTGTGAGAAATGGTTACTGACGGCTCACTAAAATCTTCCGTCTAGTAAATGTTAAAATTAAGTAGAATCATTTTTATAAACAAAGATGGATAGTGGTTTATAATGCTTGTAAATTAAGGCAATATCGAAGCAGTACGCACAGTATGCATATATGCCAGTAACAGACTGATCAATTGCAGTCCTAAATATCAATGGGAAGATTCAAGTAAAACAATATCAAGTGAATTAGAATCATGTTTGTTTCAATTTATTTTGTCAAGTCGATAAAAAGATATTCACTGTACAAAATAAATGTATTTCATTGTAGTACAAAATAATACTATTAGCAATAATATTAGTGCTAATATAAACAAGTAATATTTCATTTTGAATATGGACATTGATTTCAGTTATAATGACTGTCATCTGTCACCATTGAAGTGTATAATACTAACGTAATTTACTTTAGATTATCAGTATTTGTCAATCAAATTGACCAGCTTACAGTATATCCTACTCTGTTACTGAAATCAGAAATATAAGGGTTTATTTTCATGTGTATACGTCTACTTTGGTGAAAAGTAGCAAAATCTTTATCTTACAAATTATACCATTGCGACATTTGGTTTGCATACGACTCCCTATTACAGTGTAATATACTCACACACATATATTACATTATGTATTTCATGACTACAATGATATATTTTCCACATTGTTTTTTTTTTGTTTTATTAGCTCGATCAAAGTTTACAATGTTTACGACTTCAATTATTATCACAACAACAATCGGAGCATGCACTCATCCATGATTTAATTGAATTCGAATGTGAAGAACAATGGGTTGATGAACAAACACTACAACTGAATGAATTATTGACAATAGATGAAACGATTTTCCAAAATCTATCTAAACAAATAATCCCAATTGACTTGATTGGATCAAATGTGGAACAAGATACTCAAATATTGGCGAATATTAACTGTAGTAATGGTAGTACTAGTTTAATTTTGGATTCAGAATGTGATCATGTAATTCATAATACAAGTAGTTGTGAATTGAAAGAATGCATTTCTAACTCAGTAAATCATGGTGATCATGAAGATGATGATGATAATATTGCGGATGACCATGAATATGATATTGAGGGTTCGGTTGATGAGGGAATATGTAAAGATTTAGAAGTGCGAATCACTTTTGCAAAAGTAGGTTAATTTAGTTTTGATAATGTTTATGTGTTTCAGTTGATATTTTGATTATTTGGCTGTTATTCTATGGATCTTAATCTATAATAATTACTTGATTAGAAGTCGTCGAAAAATGTATTATGTGGCTTTTTGATTGTGACCATATTGTATCAGACTGTGGAAACGATTCCACGATTTTTAATGAGAAATAATGACTGGTTAGTACTAAACATGTTCCACGTAAGACAGTCATCATTGACGACACCAAATTATTGTCGACTTTCATCAGGAACTGAATGAAGTAAAAAACGTAGACAAAATTGATTTAGACAAAAGTGGTTCGCTCATTGAAAAACTTGAATGTCATGGTTTCAAACTGTTTTAGAATTTTAGGTGAGCTTTGTTATTCTCCAATAAGTAAGCTGCTTAATTGGCAAAAATTAGAATAATTTTGTGTAATTTCATAATATCAATGGAGAAAACGTTTATTTCCAGTAAATCAAGGTTGACTAGGTAAAGATTAATTTATATATTTAGCTGGCTAAATAAATTTATTAGGAGAATAACCAAAGTTTGTTCTTTTATCAGAAATGTATAAACAAATGAGATATCGCCTATGTGGAAACTTTAATAATATCTAATCTTTCTTCGATTTCTATCAGTTTCTTATCAATTCTTAGCACACGGAAGATTATCAGTTACCTCTAGGAAAGGTTACCTTCTTGAAAACTCCTAACGGTGACATTTTACAACATGGTTGGCGATGCAAATATCACGATGTTACATAGTTCAAAACTAATCACTTATTTCATTTTTTACCTTCTTAATTAATGTCTGTAAGACATTTCCCAGAGCTTGCTACCATCTATCTTTGAAAATAATATTAAAAGCTTTATTTACAGGGATATTAGGATTATACAAGTTCGTTAATCTTTTATCGAGCATTTAACAAGTAATTATTCAAAACATCTTCCCTACCAACATTTGGTTATTATGTTATAATAACTTTAAATTATTCTAATGATAACAATCTATAAAGAAGAAACCTTATACGAAATTGAACAATTGACCAGCCAAGTATTTTCGTAAAATAGAGAATCAGACAGCATTAATTTCATTATTGTAAACTGGACTTTTTGTTACAGTACAAAAAAGTGCAAAATATTTATAATGATTACAAGTCAGGTATCTTATTGTATATTGTTTGTTTCTTGGAAAAACTGTAATCCATTGGAACACATGGTTGTGTAATATTATTTTGGTAAACAATTCAAATTTTGTTGTTTTTTTTGTTCTTGAACAGCTTACAGGCGAGTGTGTGTTGACGATTTGTATAACGAATACATCGACAATTTACAACAATGTATTCTATTCATATTTTAACCTTACTAAAAGGGTATATCGATTTCAAATCCCACTACCTCAGTGTACTATTTGTTTTAAGAATATAAGGTGATTTAAACAATTTTAACCTTTAAGATTAATCAAAGCAAATATATCTTACTGTATTGGATCTTAAGTCAACGAAACTACTGTCCAATGTTCAGGTCACTAAGATTTGTTGGTATGAATAGTGGTTTGAAAATTAGAAAGCCGCGTATTATATTTTGTATAAGTTCAGTGAAGCCTGTATACGCGAATAGTCATTTCTCATTGCCTAATATTTGTAACTGAGATGGTGGAGAAGATTTGTAGCTCAGGTGGATGATTTTGGTGGAGTTCTGTTCACTGGGCTGGATGATTTGGTCGTGGAGCCTTGATCGTTCTTCAGAACAATATCATCTGCACACGTTCAGAAAAGATTATTATTTTTATGATTACTATTGGTATAAGGAGATTATGTAAACTTTTAAATTTGTTATTTTACATCAAATATTAGTTTGTGTCAAACAACCATTGAAAACCAAGAAATACTGGATAGTTGTTTCATCTTAGGTTCGTTTATATGCTGTGGTGAGGTGTCTCATACCAGGACGAAACAGTTATCTAGTGTTTTCTCAGTTTCCAGTGGTTTTTTAATTATAGTGTCAGTTCGTGATATAAACTATAAAAGAGCTTTATATTTTGTATACTATGAACTTTAATACTGATTCTTTTTCGTCATCATTAATTATTATCGTTTGTACAGGAAAACTTTGAAGCCATAAAAAATAGAGAACAGAAAATCTGTGATTGTATGAATGCTTATCGAAACCTTTGTGAAATTATTACTGATAATGGAAACAGTAGTATAAATAATCTCCCTTCTATTGATGTTACTGCACAATATTCACCAAGAAAGGAAATGGTCAATGAAAATTATAATAATGATTATTCCTACTCACCTTTTACTACTGTTGCTGATCAGGATAGTTGTGATAGAGCAAACAAATTGAAAACCTCTTATTACAATCTATTGAATCGGTCTAGTCAACGAATTAAACAATTGGAATGCTATCATAAAAAATTACTTGAGGTATATATATATATATATAAATTTTAAGTGTATGTAATATTTGCTTAATCTACTTTTGTTCGTCAATATTCTTACCAAATCTGTTGTTTTTCGACTAATTCACAACCTCATGAACCCCAACTATACCTGCTAATTACTGTTTTGGCAATAATGAGATGTCATCATTATGTGTGCCTCATGCATCACACCCTTGATTCGATTAATATATTTCCTAATGAATATATAGATACAAATATTTACTCTATGCAATTAATCCCACTGTGTTCCTTAATATAGTTGGTTGTGTAAATTTTAGAGTTAATAATGGCAATACTTATTAATAAGAATATCATCTAAAATAAAAAAAGATGAGTGTATAATTTAAAATAACATTACGTCATAGTAGAGAGTTCAAATCGGAACGCAATAGAAAGGATTATTGACTATAAGGTGTACTTATAAGTTAGGACTACGAATGAAATGTGACCTTAATCTGAGTCATAGTAAACGAAAAGCTATCTTATTTTGTTCATCAAGGTAGGGTTTCTTGAAGTTGATGCCAGCCGTATAATCATAAGCCTTTGGGTAAATTATTGAGAACTTTATATGTGTAACTGAAAAAAGCATGTTCAATTTCAATATATTATATCCGTTGCCAATTCGATAACTCCGCCTGGATAATGAAGGACTCTGTAGACGCCCAACTTCGAGACCAACAGGCTGAATTCCGTAAGGATCGATTGTGTAGAGACGGAATCGCGATAACACTATGAAAGCTACCATCGAGAAGATGCAACTGTTTATTAACAGTTGTCTACGCAAAATACTTCGGATCCGTTGGCCAGACACTATTAGCCACAACTTCTGTGGGAGAGAACAAACCAGATCCACACAGAGGAAGAAATCAGGAAAAAGCGCTGGAAGTGGATAGGACACACATTGAGGAAAGTACCTAATCGCGCCACAAGGCAAGCCCTCACGTGGAATCCTCAAGGTCAAAAGAGAAGAGGAAGACGAAAGAACACATGACGCCAAGAAATGGAAACTGTCATGAGAAGAATGAACAACAATTGAACAGAACTAGAAATGAAGGCCCAGGACAGAGTGGGTTGGAGAATGGTGGTCGGCGGCCCGTGTTCTATTGGGAATAACAGGTTCAATTAAGTATGTAAGTCGTTAATTTGATGGAAAAGAATGACATTACTTATAGACTCAGTAACAACTTTACCTAATCGTACTACGCAGTTGTTCATTTTCGTTTTCATAAATTAACTTATCACATATGAAAGATATTTATGAAATTAATATTTATATTAGTAATTGGTGTCCGCCAGTTGAAGCGAATCATTAAAATTAAGGTCTTAAAATATAGTTTTGTTTCAGTTTCTCAACTCATAGATATTGTCCAACATCCAATTCCTATAACACACAGTTGTCAGAAACTAGTATCTTAAGTATTATATAGGACACGATATCGTTGTATTAGTCGTTTTGAATGACATACTTGCAAAATCTTTCAAAATAAAATAATTGAGTAATTATATTGTTTATTTATTTAAACAAAATATTTGTACAAAAGGACACACAACTTCCTTTCATACAATAGCCCCACGTCATCCTTTGACCACCTGTCTGTGTCTTCTAACCAGGTGGGACTACATTCGTAGTACAAGTTCAGGTCATCGAATTCGGTGACACTAATTAACATCACTGTGATCGAACATGTTTCCAAACTTCCGCATTACTAACATGGTCTTGCGATAGAATGTCACCAATCCTTCAGAAACAACAATGACCAAATACAAAGGGTTGTCCAACACCTTCAATTTGGAAGGACTATTTTTCGTCAGCATAGATTACAACTACTTTCATTAATACGTTGTAAAGCCCAGATTAGTATAAACTACCCTGTCTGTCCTATATACGTACATTAATCTCATCACTCACGGAACTACGCAGATGCACGAACTTTTAGGCTACTTCTGATAGTTCACCATTAAGAGCGAATGAAGAAGTAGGTTCCTATCAGTCTTTTAAAAGTTCTTTGCATTTAGAAGGTTCAAAGTACATGCCATACTCACGGACGCTGATTGCTAACTGATTAAATGCGGATTGCATGGCCTGAGTATCATGGACAATAAGACAGTCTCATCCACATACTCAAATTTAGAAAGTCTTTTTCCAGGTATCGGATTTAGACCATCATTACCTACATCGATCAGAGTTGTTTACGAATCGTCTCAATGGCAAGGTTGAAAATGAATAGTGAGATTGGGTAACCCTGCCTAACTCCACTGCTTGAATGAAACAACTCTGCCTGGGGTATTTGTATGTAGAACCTTCAAGATATTAATAAACTTTTCAGACACCCTTCTTCAGTAGAAAATCTCGATATCTACAGTCCTGTCCAACAAATCGAAGGAGGCCCTGATGTCTTGAATCACAATGATCGTTGACCTGCAATAAGTATGGCTATGTTGCAACATTTGACAGAGGGTGAAGATACGATCAATACATCCTTGACAAGAACAAAAACCGGCCTGCTACTAGCGAGTCAATTATTCAAACCAACTAGAACATCATATCGACCTAGGAGATTAACACTCTAAAAACTAATACAAATGAACAACAGCATAGAAAAGAGAAATCCTCAATCAGTTTTTTAAACATAGAGTATGGTTAAGCGTAAGATGTAACTTGTGCTTGCCACTTTACTATCTGTATAGCCTTCCGATATTATGCTTAGAATCATTAATTATCATATGTATAATTATTTTTAAAACACCAATGTTTCTTTAATTACATAGTCCCTGATTTCAGTCATGTTTGCCTTCCTTACAACTTTTGCAGCACAATCTTTTAGTTCATTTCAATTTCGATCTGTGGAAGCAGGGGTACTTACAGTGGATTGCAAATCGCCATTATCGACTAAGCGACATATTTAACCCTAAAGCCTTATCGGCATTACGAACTGACAGACAGCTATCAAACATATCCACCAATACAGATGAAGTGAATTCTGATTTATTCAAACGTCCAACACGATTATCTAATGTATCTACGATTTCTCAGTCAGTTTATACTTCGTCTAATAATATCAAACCTCAATTATCTAACAGTCGTTCATCTCTCATCCGATCGAGTATCGAATCATTACAACCGCTCTCTGATAACAAACATAAACAAAATGTCAGTCATAAGCCAGATGAAGTAAACTGTTCACAATTTATACAAGCAGTTCTACATGGTAGACCAACACATGATTGGGCAAATCCTATTTTCATCAAGTCTGCATTTTATACAATTGACCAAGCAAAAAAGGGCATAGTTACATGTCATCAGATTATTGAAGCATTAAGTCCGAAAAAACAGGTAATTATATATATTTTTTTATTTCTTCGGTTTAAAAGAAGCAATTCAAATTATTCGTGTTTTCATATCAAAATTATGACTCATAAATGTATGGAACGAACTATTCAATTGAATGCTCAATATAGATGGTTAGTTCAACAATTAGGAACTAGATGTAATCAATCATTCACAAAAATAACTCTTCAAAGGACACATAAATGTTAAGAAAAAAGAAGTATAGATGGTTACAAGAGACTTTGTATTAGTTTAGGAATAGACCATATTTTAACGACAAAATATAGTACACAATGGTAAGTGTAAATGGCCATAATACAATAGTAAACAATTCAATACACTCGTAAAAAAAATAACAACAGTAAATTAGTTACTATTCTTGTTGTAACGGGTGAATTGCAAGTTAAATGGATCAGCGTATTTATCGATCGATAACGTCCAAGGACATCATTAGACTTAACATGATAATGATTGGCACATTATTCCTCAGCATCCATAACAATTCTTAATGTTTCATCTAGTAAAATAAGTTTTTCATCATAAGTGCTCTTACTCAAAATAGTTTGCTTTAAACATTTCGTACACATATACCTTGTAAAATTGTATATCAATATGATTTTGGTTACATATTTATGAGGCATCTTTATTATGGTTTCATTAACACATACGTTTGTCAGATTTGTTTATAAAGACAAACAGTATTCTATAAAATGCCGATAAACTTTGTAAAATAAATCCTATTCTGTTATATTTGCATAATCAATAATTGTTCCTTTCATGTTCCCATTTTTAACTAACCTACAATTTGCAAATAGTTTTAATATATTCAGTGAAATACTTTAATGAAAGTAAAAGTTTTTCAGATCTACTAAATGGATAAACTGGTATTTCTTGAGTAACTTTATACTACATTTGAAAATCTGATTGAAGACATGCGCAGCATTCATTAATTAATCAATTTAAGTAAAACAGTCACCTGATCTCCCAAGACCAACTAGCTAAAAATGCTTTCCGTTCTTTAATGCCTAATATTCTAAATATAAACGGTTTCCGTTCAAATTTTGTTTAGGATGTAATCAAATTTATCTTTATTATAGAAATCTAATTGGATATTCATTATCAACTGTATAAGTAGTTAATATTATCTTTTTATTCTCATTTGTTACGCAATTACTTACTTACGCCTGTTACTCGTCGTGAAGGAACATAGGTCGCTCACCAGCATTCGCCATCCAACCCTGTCCTGGGCAAACTTGTTTCATAATGTATCTACGTAAATATGAGATACAAATACTTTATCATCTGTCTAGTATGTACATAATTAAGAGTTGATACGATGTTGTCAACTCTAAAACTAGTCTAAAAACAATCACTCGGTATTGTTTGTTTGATGTTTAGGACTGCAACTGATCAGTCTCTTATTGGCATATGTGCATACTGTGCATATTGCCTCGATATAGCCTAAATTCAAACAAACAACACCAAGTGAATTTAGCCCGACCGTTGTTGCTACCTTGACGTGGTGGTCGGGCTTGTCTATCGTGATGAAGCAACCAAGCTATACTGGCTGGAACAACCGTTCCTCAAGGTCCTACCATGTCAGACAGGTCGATTGAAGAGCGGTAAGACTAAAAGCAACAGACCCAAGGTCCGAAGGCGAAGTCGTACTGTTGACTATACAGAGGTGTGACAGCAGTAAGGTGTTTCCTTCAGACAACCAGCATGACAGCGATGCTGCCTTCCCACAAGGAGGGGTGGGGTTAGAAAAGGTCGACCCTAAAAATGCACACCTCACCTTACCTCACGGATTTCCGTCTCCGGCGGTAAGGCCCTTCGAAGAACGGAGCTAACACGTCGAAAACCTTCCACGAAAAGGCCGTGCGCGACCGGCCTCAAGCAGTTGTCCCTTGGGCACTGCGGTCACGCTCTCAGGTCACTGAGACCACCTCTAATCCAATTTCCTTTTCAGGTACCTCCAGAAGAACCCTTCCACGGTGTGGGCAACCGGGGAGTGATAACCGCCCTCATACTTCTAACAGCACCCAAGACCACTGTATTCATAATCAACCTTCCTCTTCAATTCCTATTATTCCTCCTACATCGACTTTCAACCCTAAACTTCATCCTTCGGCTTCCTCCTCAAAAGTCACCATAGCCAACGATTCTAGTGCTCAAAACTCTGTCCCAGGTCTACTGAAACCTCGCTCCAAACTACACATTGGAGCTTTCAACGTACGCACTCTATGTCAAATCGGTCAGCAGGCTTCCTTGGCTAAAACCCTAGAGTCCCTTTCCATTGATGTATGCTGTGTCTCTGAAACACGCATACAGGATCCCAGTGTGGTCATTCACTTGACCTCACCTCGGCAGAACGGAGAGCCAACGAGATACACTCTTCGTGTATCTGGTGACCCGATGGCCAGTTCTCGTGGACTGGCAGGTGTAGGCATAGCACTAAGCATGAGGGCGGAACAAGCACTGCTAGAGTGGATCCCCGTCAACAGTCGTCTATGTGCTGTTCGGCTGAACGGCTACGTAAGAACTCGGAAGGATAGGGACACACGTCGTTGCCTTTTTGTCGTTTCTGTCTACGCTCCCACTGACTGCAGCTCAGATGAAGTGAAAGATGAATTTTACAGAAAGCTTTCTGAACTTCTTCAGAAAGCTAAACGCTCAGACATAGTACTCGTAGCAGGTGATTTTAATGCTCAGATAGGTAGCTTAAACCAAACAGAAAGGCATTTAGGTGGATATTTTAGTATTCCGACACAGCGAACAGATAATGGTGATCGTCTGCTGCAGCTATGCTCAGACAATCGTTTATTTTTAGCAAACACAAATTTTAAGCATAAGGAGAGACATCGTCTAACATGGCGACCCCCTACACCAAACCAACGATGGACTCAAATAGACCATATTGCCATCAGTCATCGTTGGAGAGGGTCGGTAGAAGATTGTCGCTCATTCTGGAGTACCTGCTTGGACTCCGACCATGCCCTAATACGGGCTCGCATCTGCTTGCGCCTCACTGGACGCAAAAAAGCCACATTAAAAAGACCCGTTAGAACTGAGTTGAGTAACGAGAAAACCAAAAGTAGGTTCCAGGAACAACTGAGGTCACACTTAGGTAGTTGTGAAGACGAGGCTGACCCAGATGTTGCTTGGAAGGGCATACAATCAGCTGTGGAAACAGCAGTGACATCTATTAGTGACTTAAACCACAGAGTTGCAAGGAACCAGTGGATTTCTTCAAGGTCTGTCACACTGATGGATTCTCGCAAACTCGTCCCATCAGGTCCTGAACATGATGAAGAGCGAAAACAAATCAGATCTAGGTTAAGAAAAAGTCTAAGGAACGACCGTGAGCAGTGGTGGGTAACGAAAGCAAAAGAGATGGAAAAGGCGGCGACTATAGGGAACACAAGACAGCTTTACAGACTAATAAAAGAAACTGGAATTAATAAGTCAAGTGTAAGTGAGATTATTTCGGAAAAAGATGATACTCTCATCTGCTCCCAGTCCAGACGTTTAGAACGATGGGCGGAACATTTTAGAGAACAGTTCAGCTGGCCTTCAGCTACTCTACAACTACCCTCCATTCCCAGACAATGTGAATGGAACATTGAAGTAGGTCCCCCAACTCTTGCTGAAGTTCAAAAGGCTATAGTTAATCTGAAGCGAGGAAGGGCAGCTGGTCCAGATGGATTGGCTCCAGAGGTCTTTAAGGATGGTGGTCCAATTTTAGCGATTAGGTTGACTAATATTTTAGCTAAGATTTGGGAATTAGACTTTATCCCATCTGACTGGTCGCAATCACTTATCGTCCCAATATATAAGAAAGGGTCAAAATCATCCTGTGACAACCACAGAGGGATTAGTTTAACAAACATAGTATCTAAAATACTGGCCTCGATAATTATCAGACGTCTAACTAAGACTCGTGAACTACAAACTCGAGAGAACCAAGCTGGCTTCAGACCTGGTCGTGGCTGCATCGACCACATATTCACCATTCGTCAGGTTCTAGAACACAGGCATACCTATCGGCGTCCGACGATGGTGGTCTTTCTTGACTTAAAAGCAGCGTTTGACTCTGTAGACCGCGAGACTCTGTGGCAGTGTCTGTCATTGAAAGGCGTACCTCAGAAGTACATAAACCTTGTGAAGGCTCTTTACTCGAACACTACTAGTCGAGTCAGGGCTTATGGCGAACTGTCATCTACTTTTGCAACTTCAAGTGGTGTCCGTCAAGGCTGTCCACTTTCTCCATTTTTGTTTAACTTCATCATAGACCTATTGATGGAAATAACACTCTCGTCGACTGAATTCTCGGGTATTGATCTCCTTCCAGGAGGTCCACTTATCGACTTAGAATACGCAGATGATATAGTCCTGTTTGGTGAAGACGCTGACAAAATGCAGAGTCTTCTGGTAGCACTAAACAACAATGCCAGAATGTTTGGGATGCGCTTCTCTCCCTCTAAATGCAAGTTGTTGCTTCAGGACTGGTTTGCGTCAACACCTGAACTAAGGATAGGGAGTGAAGTAGTCGAACGCGTCGACAACTTCACTTATCTTGGAAGTCTGATCAGCCCTAATGGGTTGGTGTCTGACGAAATCTCAGCACGGATTCGAAAAGCTCGCTTGGCTTTTGCCAACTTACGTCACCTGTGGCGGAGGCGAGATATCCGTCTATCAATAAAAGGACGAGTATACTGCGCGGCAGTCCGTTCTGTCTTACTTTACGGCAGCGAAACATGGCCTTTAAGAGTAGAAGACACCCGTAAGCTACAAGTATTTGACCACAGATGCCTTAGAAATATTGCTGGCATCTGCTGGGATCACCGGGTAAGTAATAGTGAGGTTAGACGCAGGGTATTAGGGAATGATGGTAAATCAGTTGATGAGGTTACGAATCTTCATCGACTGAGATGGTTGGGCCACGTATTACGTATGCCTGAACACCGATTACCACGACGTACAATGCTATCCGGTGTAGGGGATGGTTGGAAAAAAGTTAGGGGCGGCCAAACCAAAACGTGGCATCAGTGCTTGAAGTCACTAACTTCTAGTCTGAGCCATGTTGGTAGATGCAGACTACTTGGTTGGGGTCCGCGTGACTTTCGTAACCAATGGTTGGAGACTCTTGGTGACATGGCTCAGAATCGATCACAATGGCGTCGGGGTATACACTCTTTGTCTTCCCTTAAACTAAGAGATTAAAATCACTTCATATCTTTCTTTCTACGAACTAATTCTTCCTTCCTATACTATATCCTTATTGCAACCTTTGACCTAACCACTCCTATGAATCCGGTGTTCATCTTGTTGTGCTAATGAGGTATGACAACCTGGACCGATGCACATATGTGCCTGGTCCTACGTTGTAGCTGACTGACTGAAGTGAATTTAAACTTCACCCCATCGCATAAGCAAGTGGCTATCAGGATTCAGTGGGTAAGTGGATGACGCGATGGCGTTTGAAGCAAACGGTGGATATGCACTTCTGAGGAGTCCCACAATAGGACGAGACGGCCATCCAATGCTTCCAGGTTTTCCATGGTGGTATAGCTTCAAATGACCTATGATCTCAACTATTAAAATTGTATAACACTCTTCCATTTTAATCATAGACTACTAGATGTAAAAAATTACCTATAAATGCAATTGTACATCATAGGAAAATGGTATCGTTGAAAAGAAACTTTTCTTCGCTGAAGTTGTCTTTGTTTTTTTCTTAATGAATCAATGGATTTCTTTGATTATTTTAAAGTCATTTTCTATAAATAAGAAGTAATTGTTACATAGGCCGCACAAAGCGATCAATTTCCAAACGCAACTCAGAACACTATCCGGCTTGGCTTTCATAAGGTGAATGTAAAACAATTACTAGTTCTATACAAGAGAATTTAATAAATTGTGGACACATCGCTTGGTGTTGTTTTACTTTTACCTTCCCATTATCATTTAGGACTGCAATTGATGCACTTATGGCAACATGAGACTGATCAATTGCAGTCCTAAATAACAATGGGAAGATACAAGTAAGACAACACCAATTGAATATAACTTCACTTCATTGCACAAGCAGGTGGCTATCAGGACGTAATGGTATTTGAAGCGAACGGTACCGCGTTTGAGTCCTGGAGTGAACATCGACTGTGAGATGCAGGTACATCTAGATGACGAGTCCCAAATAGAGCGAAACTCGTGTCAAACAGGATTCCACTGCTAGTCACTATCCATCTTTACGTAATCTAAAAACAATTTAATTGAAAAGACAGAGTATCCGTTAATCACTGTTCTAGAATAAATCTTTTCAATATATTTTTCAAAACTTACAATCTATTTATTGATACAGAAAGAAGTAGTTGTTTTTTATCGAATTCAAATTACATTTTTCAGCATAAACCTCTACCAACCGATAAATTAATTGAACATGCAATAGAACAAGAAACTAGTAAATGTGTTTGTCAACCAAAATTTCAACCGAGAAAAATTGGAAAGGATCGATATTGTGTAAGTTAATTTAATTATGTTATATTCTTGCCTACAACACCAATGACACGTATCCATTAGTTTATTTTCGTACATGTGATCTATAAAATAGGTTACGAAAATACTGATGCTTCCTAAAACTCTATGCAATTAAATGACGATCTGGGTCCGATTCTCAGTAGGATTGTGAATACACACTGATGAACAGATGAATACTTAGACCAAAGATCTATTTATTACTTCTTGGTTTGTGATAGTTTTTTTTAACTAAGTGTAGTTTATAATGTAAAAATACCAAGTTCAGTATGCTCTATACTAAATAAAAAGGCCTACCCTTTAATTAATTTCTACTTTATTTTATTTAACATATGTGTTCCATGTAACTGTTTTCGTTGTGAAAAAGCAAGAGGTAATTTGCTTATACATTTTTTTGGCTTGTTTTAAAGTTTGGATCCAGTTCACGAGTTTACTTGGTTCGCTTCTTGAATAGTACAACGATTGTGCGAGTAGGAGGTGGATGGATGAGTTTAAATGAATTCTTGGATTCACGTGATCCATGCAGAAGTAAGCTACTAGTTTGGTGATTCTGTATATTTTATCAAATATTACCTACTCCATCACTCAGTACAATGGGTATTCATGTTCATATGAAATTACAGAGTTTGTGATTGAAGCTGATGAAAAACAACTGGATCATGACAAGACTCGATTTATAACTTTTGAGCTACCAGTATCATTGAATTTTGACAATTGACGATCAGCTAGATTACGATTTTTCTCTAATCGAATACTATTTTAATAGTTGAACTCTTGAGTCGATCTAAGCTAGACCACCATTGCAAACCTGGAAGCAATGGACAGCCGTTTCGTCCTAGTGAGAGACTCCTCATCAGTGCGCATTCACGATCCCGCATGCGTGACTGGAACTCAGGACCTTCAGCCTCGCGCACGAACGCTTAACCTGTAGACCACTGAGCTGGCATCCAGCAGTATCCAGAGATGTCCTATACTAGGACAAAACCGCCGTTCAGTGCTTCCAGGTTCTCAATGGTGGCCTAACATTGGTTGATTGATGATCTCAATAAAAAATCCGACGATTTTCATAACCTTCGCACTGATGTTTGATTATGGTACCATAGAAATGAATTCAATCATCATTTTGAGATTAGACAGTTTTCAATGAAATTAGATTAAACAATATGGTTGAATTGAAATAGTAAATTATACTACATTTTCCTAATACACAGGATCGTGGATGCACACTGCTGATGAGTCTCACACTAGGACGAAACAACTGTCCAGTGCTTCCACGTTTTGAATGGTGCTCTAGCTCCGATTGACTCATAAATTCAACTTTTAAAATTACTACAATCTCCACAAACCCCCATTCTCACATACTACTTTATTAGGTTCTTATGCTCTTGAAATGAATGCAGTCAGTTGCAATTCACCATTTAATTCGCTTTATCAATTGTTCTTAGACCATTTCAGTATTTACAAAGTTAGTTGGTTGACGAGGAAAAAATTCTAATGTTTTCTAATTTGATGTTTAAGTTTTATAGTCTATCAATTGATAATGCATTGCTAAACTGCTCCAGTGCTATAGTATGCTTTCATTAATCATTTGTAATGAGCATTTTTAGTGAACTATACCATCACATCACTTTCTCAGGTACATGTTTATTGATAGATGAAGAAAATCATTCACAGATTATATTGTCTAATTCATCTTTATTGTTCATAAAGGAAAATAATAACGAAGTGGTGCTAATTACATAAATAAATTATTTTGATTCATTGTTGAAATTTAAAGAGTAGTGCTTTATACGTAGATACTATTCAAAAACACATGTTTCCTTTCTCTACACGTTTCCTTTTGTTGTTTTGGAATGATGAACTAAATTTGTATCTCGAATGAATACTTTTAACACTGTGAAATCACCCTGAGATACTCGGTTTATTTGTAAAGCTTTCATTAAAATCTTGACTTTTATTTCAATTTAACTCTGATGATTTTTATCCAGAACAACAACAGAAGCTTTGCAGTTCAATGAAATTAACACAACTAGACGTGCTTTTTCTGTATTTTAAGAAATCTCCTTGTAGTTGATTACATCCAATAACCTAATATTTCAACATACAGTGTATTTGATGTTGAGTCACTTAGATTAGTGGTAACATTGTAACCTGATTTATTTATTTATTTAAACACCTACATTAAAACAGAGTAGCACCAAAATACACACCCGCCACACAAGTTTTCATTAAATTTGTGTGTGGAATTCGATACTGTCCTGGTACCCAGACCTAAACAGGTGATTTTCTTAGGTGGTCGCTCGCCGAGCCTTTGGCCTAATGGTCAAATCCACAAGGGAGTGGAGCAACATTAAAAGTGCGGTATTATGGTAATTGGTGACCAAGACTAAGTTTGTACTCTATTTTCCCCTCAGGATCTTGGAGCTCTTGTGCACCATTGGTTTGGAACCAGGGTTTTTCAGCTTCCGTAGATCGATGCTTCGTATTCACAAACCCGGTTTAACCGCCATGTATTCGCTTGCGCTCCTCTCAGTTTCGTAAACACCACCCTTTTTGCAAAAAGACAGTGAGTAGAGCTCCCCTAGGATTAGCTATATGCGCGTGGCCACATAATAGCATTTCGAAAGGGTGACGGAAATTTTCCCACTCTCGGCTATATCAAGGCATTTGAAAGTAAACTAGCCGATAGAACTCGGCCAGCACTAAAGGAACAAATAGACATCTCACTGGTCATTATTCAGTGAACGATCAAATGTAAATTGTACTTCCAAATATCGACTGTTTCATTATTACCTACTAGTGATGGTAGGGGGTTAGACGTAATAGGATGGCACATTATTTAAAGTCTATAAATCTATGTATTGGAGATGTTTTTGCAGGAGAAAAATATACACAACTGTATGCTGTATAAACTACATACATTTTTAAACAAAGTATATTTGGCATAGCATAAATTAAACTGACAAAAAATATTCGTTATGTGTAGTACAAATATGAATCATAATGGATTGAGTCATAAACTTAAAATAAACAATACTTATTCATTGTTTATGCATGTTATATGCCAATAATAATAATAGTCTGATTTAAACATTTTTTCATTTATTCTATTCGGGTAAACTAGATGTAGACAAAATTATAAGCTTGAATCTGTAATGTCTTATAATTAATAAATCAATGCATATCTATCCTTTCCACCTTCCTGATCGTTGGGTTATTTTGTGAATTGACTAACTTAAATAATGTGAATCGTTGATTGTCACCTTACTGATCTAATAGTAAGTCTCTCTCTGTGTATGTGTGTGATACCCAAAGGTCCTTCATTCAATCTCTGGTGTTGGATTGTGGGTATGTGCTATTGATTAGTTCCATACTATTACTAAATAACGATCTAATGAATCTTGGAGACAAATGATTGTCTAACTAAAATCCAGACCCCAAAAGGTAGGATTATTTTATGTTTTTGTAAACAAGATTGTTAATTTCGACGATATTGTGAATTTTACAGTATTTCACAGGTGTCCATTAGTGAATCCTCTTTTCCGTAGCCCATTTTTATTAGGCTAGTTCGACTAAATACCTGAAAATATTGTAAGAATATTTTAAAAGGAATGTAGTTACACAAGTGTTATAACACGAAACCTGGCTAAACTCCTACAGTTTAATCATCTCTTCTGAAAAATCCTGAAATGTTTTTAATGGCCCGAGATCTGACTCCAGTAATTGAGATATACAATGTCGTCAATCCTCATATATTATTATCTACTTAATCCGCGTTAGTGAATAACGGAATTAAAATAAGTCAAATACAAGGAAGCATTTCGAAAATGTATATTTTGTACAATCATTGATCTGAACAGACATTCAGGAGGATGAAGCGAATAGAAGAGAGCGAAGTGAAATGTCACGCAGTGGAGAAGGCATGTGAGCCAACTTCAATTAATCAAGCGTTAGTCAATATTTATAGCCAGATAAAAATAAGCTACAGACATGTGATGAGTAGGATAAGAAGTGTACACACACATACGCTCATATAAGAACAGTCAGCGTTGATTAGTGAATAATTAACAAGGTCAAGACATGACTCAAGAAGAATGAATATAAACAGACCTGTCCATAAGTTAGAATCAATTATTTGGGCTTAACATAATGACTGACATTACATGTTCACTGGCAATTTTCGTATGATTATTATCTTCCCAAACTTAAATCACTCAATAAGTGTTTTATCGAATCTTTTTTGATTATTCAATCAAATCAAATAAGGATTTATATCATGTAAACTTTTCATGTTATAATGATGATAACTTTAGTTAAATTAATTAAAATGTGAATAATTTAATATTTTATATTATAGTTACCCATAAAACAAGTCATTTTGGTAATACACCTATAAAGGCTAATCTGATGAATACAAATTCCACATCAAAACGTGAAAGTAATTTAGGATTAATTAATGTAACTCCAATTAATAAATCACGTCTTACTACATTAAACAATATGAACTCTAAAGAACAAAGATCATTTGTATCAACTCCTTTAACAAATAAGGACTGTGACATGAAATCACTGAATTCATCATATGAGAATGAAGCATCAATCCATAACAACTCTTCATTACTAAAACAAACTGTTCCAAGTAAGTATTTTATATGAGGATTAATATATCTGATATGTGAATGGTTGATACTGATTTGTTAACTGCCTGATCCTTCATAAATTTATTACACTTAAACCTTGAACGGGAAATTTTGTAATCATTCTAAAATTAGTAACCAAATTTGTAGTCGTCTAATCCATATATTACTTATAATCCATCATTTCTCTGGGAAGTTTCTATTTTACATTAATTGTTCAGAGTATTTTCCTTCATTTCTAGCTCCTGAAGACATTTCTGAGGAAATCCTCAAAGCACCCAACATATATATAGACCGGTTGAGTACCAGTAGCTACACAATGATAATAATAATGATATATTTGGAAAATGAGTACAGAATACATGTCAGTTTTCAGGAATAATCAAATCGATAAATATTAACAATGATAAAGGAAAGCGTTCGCCTTCCTAAAACACTCGGTTTCTAAATTTCATTAAATTGAGCAGTTCGGACAAAATTGTTAGTCATAGGAGATATGAAATGTGTGCAGGATGTGTAAACATAAATGAGATCATTTTACAGTACAATATTATCAACTATATATACAACACAACAGACATAATTTTAACAAGCGTAGAGTCATCATTCATAAACAAAATGTAACCTTATGATAGTATAAACAGAAATGTCGAAATCGTGACATCAATACATTATTAATTGCGTTTCGGCATGGTAGACTAAACCTTCACTATAGAAGGTACATGAAGCAGTCTAAGAACCAAAACGTTCAAGCTGTTTATGTGAATCATTTCATTAGAACAGTTTTTGATGTCTGAGACTGTAATAGGTTGACAGATTGTAGAATAGGCTCAGTTTGTTGAGGAGAATTCAGTGTAATAATGTAATACCGACGTACTTTATAGGACCCAATAAGGCTACTGTAAAAAATCGAATGATTTTTTCAACTCTGATGGACAATGTTAAGCTGTCATATTCATTTGAAATCAAAAGATAGTTTAACTTTCCAGAGTAGGAGACAGTATTTTCTCAGAACGAAGACTGTGGTCTCAATGTTACTGAAAGATAAAGTTTATCTCTTACTTATTTCAGAGTTGAACTTTGTCATAAGCTCACTGCAGATTCAAAGACTCATCTCATGTACTTTTTCGTACCAATTTTATAATAGTTCACTTGCTTTGATAAGCTTATCGGGAATCAATTCAATGATTAAACTGACAATTTATTCAAGAAACTAGTCATCCTCCTATACTTATGTAACACATTCATTAATTTTTTCAGTAATTATAAATGTCGAGCTGAAATGTCAACAAATAGCCAGTAAATTTTAAATGCTCTCCTACATTTCTCGTCAATTATCTTAAACTTTAACTTTATAAGCAAAAATGGATAGTGGCTAGCAGTGGAATGCAGTTCGACGCGCGTTTCGCCCTATCTGGGACTCGTCAGCTGGATGCACCTGCATCTCACAGTCGATGTTCACTTCAGGACTCTAACCCACTACCGTTCGCTTCAAATACCATCGCGTTATCCACTTAGCTACTGAGTCCAGATAGCCACTTGCTTGTGGAATGAAGTGAAGTTATATTCAATTGGTGTTGTGTACTCGTATCTTCTCATTGTTATTTAGGACTGCAGTTAATCGGTCTCTTTTTGACATATGTGCATCCTGTTCAGACTGCCATGATATCACCTAATGTCACAAGCTTTATAAGAAAAGATGGATAGTGTTTAGCAGCGGAATTCAGGACGAGCGTTCCGTCCTAAATAACAATCGGAAGATACAAGTAAGCAACACCAAATGAATTAAACTTCAACTGTTTTGATTCACTCATACATCAAATTGTACGGCTCAATTATCACTTCATAATAAGTACAGTAGAGTTGGTAGTAATCTGCATTTGGTTATCTTTAATACTAAATATATTTGTGATCTCCCTACTAGTTAATATTGAAATAGTTAAAATTACATATTTCTAAAGTACTGTTTTTTTTTCTATATTTCTTTAACAAAGCGAAAACTGCCATCTTCAACAGGGCTACCACTACACGGACAAGTACTAATAAGAAGATAAACAAATGATCATCTGTAAATTGAATTCGAACTCACTAATTCATCCCTGTGAACAAACAATTTTTTTTTTGTTTTGCATTTTTTTAAAAAAAATTTTCATAAATGGATTACAGAACATCTTTATTGCTTAATTATTATTCAGCATTCTGTTTTGTTTGTTTGTTTGTTTTCTAATTTTTGCATAAACAATTTTATCATAGTTCTTCATGTTTACCCCGGTTTGTTTATATCAATTATTCTAATCTAATAAGCTAAGATCATTGTGCTTTTTTTTAAAAAAAAATTTTTTAATTGATCACTAATCGTTTTCATGTTCCGTCTCATGATTTGATGTTTTGGAAGTTTTGAATGATTAAAAATTTGTTACTTAGCAACTTGCTAGCAAATTATTAACGGTTCAACAGTTTGAGAAAATTATTTTACTTGTGTTCACATTCGTTTCTTTTTTAAAAAAAATGTTTTCCATATCATTCCATTAAGGTTTATTTTGTATAATGCAGGTAAGTGAGATTTTCTCAGATCAATTAAATACTGTTGTGTTTATGACTAAATTAGTTTCTAAAGAATAACTAATTAATTTTTACAATTTATTTTTATTTTGTTAAATTTATCGCTTCAGAATAAAATTTGCTTTAGTGTTTATTGTTTTTTTTTAATCGAATTCACTTTTTCAATAGTGTGAATTTCTTTTACTTGATAAACGTAGATAAGTTCTAATAGTTAAAATCATGAGTCAATTAAAGCTACATCACCATGGAAAACTTGGAAGCAATTGATGACTACAGTGATCTAATGGTTAAGCGCTCGCGCGGGAGACTGATAGGTCCTGGGTTCGAATCTCACCGGGTGCAGGATCGTGGATGCACACTGTTGAAGAGTCCCACAATAGGATGAGACGGCCATCCAGTGCTTCCAGGTTTTCCATGGTGGTCTAGCTTCAATCTCACTGAAGTCTCCACAAAACCCCTTCTGGTATATAAATTCTATTTGTTTGTTTTTTGTTGCAGAAAACACCAATTAAAATCATCATTATTTCGTGTCAAATAATTCCTGTTAAAGTTATGCATCACGTATATGATATTGCCACTGACTGATTGCAACATTTTAGAACTAACAACAATCATATACAGTTCATTTATTTTATTTATTTAAACACATAAACATTAGTACAAGGAGGTACCAAATAGATATCTGCTGCATAAATCATTCAGTTTTTGTGCTTAAACCGAAACAGGTGATTTTCTTAGAAGGGCAACACCTGAAGCCTTCGACATAAAGGTCTAGTCCAGAAGGCAGTGCAGCAACGTAAGGAGATGCAGTCCCATGGTAACCTTTGAACAACGATTGGTTCATACGCCGTTCGTTCACTCAGAATTCTGGAGGCCATGTGCATCATTGGTTTGGAATCAGAGTTTTCCAAATCCTCTAGGTGGATCCTCCGTACTCACCACCAATCCGGTTCAACCGCCAGACGTTCACTTTTCGTCCTCCCAATTTCATAAACAACAGTAATGCTGCGAGAAGGCAGTTAGTAGGACTTCCCTGGCAGTAGTTGTATGCATGTGGCCATGTGAGAGCGTTTCGAGAGGGAGAACTGACTCTCCTTACTCTCGGTCGTACCAAGGCATTTGGGGGCGATCATACACAGGGTATCGTCGAGTATATTTAACTAGATCAGGTTCTGTTTCGTAAACATAAAATAGGGTTCCTTGCAATGGTGTATTATATAGCTGGATTTATAGCTGAAAAACCGAACCAGATTGGTATGATTTACAATGTTACCTAATTAAAGAATAACTATATTTTCGATTGAGATCACTAACCGATTGATGTTAGACCACCATTGAAAACCTGGAGCACTGGACGACCGTTTCGAATCCTGTGAGCGGGATCGTGGATGCACACTGCTGTGGGGCCTCACAATAGGACAAAACGGTCATCCAGTGCTTCCAGGTTATCAATGGTCTGACATCAATCGGTTCATGATCTCAATCAAAAATCTAATAATCTCCACAACCCTATACTGATAATTATATTTTCAACAGAATGACAATAAATTTAGGTATAAACAATGACTATTTAATAAGTCAATTTAAAATAAGAATCAAATCACATCGAATTACATAATGTTAGTAAAGAATATATTAAGCTTTCAATGGTTACATTTCTTACACGTTTCTAAATTTTGAATGTTGAACGTTGTTATCCTAGAAAGCACTACCTGAAAAAACGGTATCACTGTAATGAAATGACTGATTTAATATTCTGGTTAAATTATATCAAATTGACTGTTTACGATTAAATATTGTAAGTGATAATGAATTCTAGTTGGATACAATTGAATTTTAGAATAGTTTATATCATCAAATCATTTTACTGAAGATTGATAAAGTAAAACAAAGTACTATGTATATAGAAATGTATTTTCATCATTATTATCCATAAATATGATATTTTGAAGAAATAAATCTAATCTGTAATCAACTGGGTTTTTTTTCACTCCTCACCAAAGAAACTCATCAATTTGCATGAACCTTTTATACATGCACCTCGACAACAATCATTTGCATGAATACATGGACTATTAGCTTGTGCACATTGAACACATTTGCCAGTGGCAGAACTTTTACGATTACATACCCAATCTCTTCCACAGCATGGACGAAATACTGTACATACTGTTTCAGGTTCTGAACAAAATGATAAAATTCCACCTGTTAAATAAGAGAGGAAAAAGTGATTGTATATACAAGAAAAAAAGTGCCATAAAATATCTTTTAACACATATGTAATAAAACTAAGCGACGATTTAAATTTTGGTTAATACCATTAATAGAAGAAATACATGGCAGAAACGTTTATAATTATATCATACATTAAAAAGTCAACTGGACTTTACTCCTAGTGTAGTGAACAAGAACACGAGTGGGGATCAACCGAATGTATTTGAGCATGAAATTACAAAATACCTCACTAAAATCTGAGAACCATATAGTGTCTCAAACTTGACTGTTCCTTTTAAAAATCTCAATCCATTGTCTCAGTTTTCACTGTTTGTGCATTTTTATATCGATTGCTTTCCATTCCCGTTGTTTCCTTCTCGATCTTCTACTGGAATATATTCTACTCCTGACTATCGTTATATTCTACTTATGTGGATATAAGTAGCTGACACCACACCAGTAGTGTTTAGGTTAAACACATTTTTAAATTCTTTCAAGATGAGATTTGAAATTTCCCTTTACTATTAAGACAATATTTTTTTAAAAATCAGTAGAACTTTTAAACCGTATGATTTATTATTGTAATTCATATTGGTGACACAATATTCATGGTAAACCAGTTGTTAGTGTGGGTGGAAACTTATAATGAGTAAGTTCATTATTTAACTGATTAAAGTGTCCGCCTACATGTTTACTGTCTGACTATCTATCAGTGCACATTAGTAATAAGTACTATGTATTCACTAGATATAACCTCTTAAGCAAGGACTTGTTCCATGCAACTGTTTGTTAATTGTTAGCAGCCAGTAGAGCAGTAAGTGCATCAGACCAGAAGTTTAAAATTATGTAAAAAATCAATGTGTTGTGAGAATTTCCAATCCAAGCTGCGATAAGATCACTTAGCTTTGTAGGATAACTAATTTTACTATAGACCCTGAGTAGCTACAATCTACCTAGTTAGACTAACTGATTATATACCATACGTTATTATGTTAGGCAAGTCGAAGGAAATATAGAAGTTACATCTTCTAATGATTGTATAAAAGTCTGTAATACCTAAATTAATACTGAGATATGCTTTAGAACAACTATAACCATCCAAATTCCTATAATGTCACATACAAAATAGTAAATATCCACAAAATCCTCTTCATGGAATCCTAATAAATGGTTAAACTATATTTTTGGACTGCGGCTAACACTAGGATCTAGTAAGTGCGTTCTGTTCTGTTTAAGACTCGTTTGTTTCTTTCATCTGCGTCTCAATGTTGACATACATATACAGATCCAAACTCAGTACTCATTGCTTCAAAAAAGAACCCGTTATCCATTAACATAATGACTTAGTAGTAACTTGAAAGCACATGCTATGTTGAATCGTCTGCTAAAGGGTCTCATATCCTAACAGAGATCGATTTAAGGGAAGCTCAAAACATCTTACACCAAACAATACTATATTTGACTAAACAGTGATCGATTGTGTTATGAACTAAAAGATGCCCAATTAGCAACACTATCAAAAGCATTCACTTCAGGAACAAATTCATTGAAGCAGTTACGTTAATTTCTGTTCATAGTGAAAAGTGTCTTTTAAATATACTGTAGTTCCCCAGCATGTTCAGCAATTAGATTAAATAATACTAATGTTTCTGTAGGGTGGGGGGGAATGCAAGACAGAACAAACCTCACTAGCATATTGTATGAAAATATTAAATACCATCTAATTTCTTTCCTATTTAGAAATGGCATTAACAAATAAATTTGTGTTAATGTTTTCATTGAACGATTTTGCTAATATGACATTTTTCGAAAAATAAACAATAAATTTACATGTCCATGTTCATTTCTGTAATTTCACTTTATATCAATCCAAGAGTATACAGAACTGATATGTATGAACATGAACTCTATATGACAGTTGGTTTACGTTAAAATAAGCATATAAAAAGTTTTTCCTAAATGAACGAAACACAACTATAATATTTATTGAATGAGATTATGAATCAATCAATGATAGACGTGGAAGCACTGAACGGTCGTTCCGTTCCAGTATGGAACTGTTCAGCAGTGCGCATCCACGATCCCGTAAGCAGGGCTCGAATCCGAGACCTTCGGTCTCGCCCGTGAATGCTTATCTTCTAGATTACTGAGCCGGTATCCAACGGTGTTATAGTATGTATTAAGATATCGTTTTATGGACTCATTTTTGAGGTGTTAGTTGTTTAAAGGTAATCGACAGAAAACCTTAGACATACGTTTCCCGCTAGTTGGTACCCACTAGCCACGGGACTGATACTCCACTGTGGATTCTAAGCACACTCGAATTCTGATAAATTGTCATTGATTTGCTTGAGATGAAAATGACCTCAAGCAGGCCCAAAAAATCTGTTATTGATTAATTACTGAGTAATGACAATATAAATTCTTTTAGTTATTTTCCCGATGTTGTACTTGTGGCTTTGTATAAAAACAGTTTGAGCAAATATTTTGGATTGAAAAAGTACCCTCAACATGTTACAGATTCATTAGACGATGAATGATGAATGAGAATTTTTGTAAGCTCTATACCAAATCTCTGTTCATAATAAACAATAAGTTTTATTTGTAGCTGCAAAAGACTCATACTACCCACGAGAAGCACGCATACTTCATTCCTGTCAATAGTCGGAAAGATTCTTGTTGAGCTATATACACCATTTTATCGATTCATTTAACCTTAATCCTTTGTGCTTTAATGTTATTTATCCTCGTTAATATTAAGACAGTTGATTAAGAAGAACCGCTAGTTTGGCTTTAGAATCTTTAATTATTTTCTTTCTTTACTAACAAGAATGAAATGTATCAGGTAAATGTTTTCTATACAAATGAAAATTACAATTATCCACAAATTTTAACCTAATCAGTCAGCTTATGTTCCTATTTTTCAATGTTGATCATGTCAATATTTTGCGATTGTCATCATGGTCGAATGATCAGTTCAGATCACAAACAACTAACTAACGTTATTTCATCAAACAGAATAAGACACACTTACATCAGAGTTATTCAGTCAAAGGAAAATACAAATCTCAACAGTATCATAACTAGAACCTAAATTGTGCGACAAAAGAAGCTTGTATGACCTAACCCAATTAGAAACCTTTAATCTTTTTATACAACAATGTATTTTTTTGTGAAATATATTTAATATAAAAGAAAGTTGTTGAAATACCTTTAGCTATGGATTATAGATTCTACTAAGCAGATACTACTGATTATAGTGACTGGTCAGGTTTCTTTTTCAAATTATTTAACGTTTCATCGACCTTAGCAGGGTTATGGTCGATTTCAGTAAACTATCAAATACTAATCAGGTTTATTAAACAGAATGGTGACCATAGTAACAACTATCAAGTTTTTAGTGCTGATGTAAAAAAGTTTAAATGTTGTCAATATATTGTTTGCATTTTTGTTTACTTTTTAGTTTCCCCCCATTTAGACTAGTAGACAACGTAAAGTCCAAATGACAGAATTTGATCTTCATTATATGACATTGAATATTTATTCGTATAAATGTCAACAAGAAGTTATTCACAGCCCAAAAAGGTCTACAATAATGTATTTCTATGTAATACTTCATAACATGGATTTGAATCCCTCAATATATAAATACATCTTGTATAAGAGTACCAGTTGAAACAAACGAAACCAAAAATCCAGTTGTTTGTTCCAATTTTTCTTAATCATGTAAGCATTCAAAGACTTTAGGAACTTTATACAGAATCCTAATAAGATTAGAACATCATGAAATAAAATGGGCTTTCAGAATTACACCACCACCATATCAGGTAGAGACAGGTATCTACTTCAGATAATCGAAGATGGTCGCGTAATTTCACGGATTATTTGAAATTAGATATTAATAACGTTAGATATTGCCTCTAGAGGTCAAGCGTTCGCGCGCGAGACCGACGGTCCTGGGTTCGAATCTCGCGTGAGAGGTCGTGGATGCACACTGCTGAGCAGTCCTATACTAGAACGGAACGGCTGTTCAATGCTTCCAGGTTTCTATTGGTGGTTTAACACTGATCGATTCATGATCTCAAACTAAATAAACATAAAGCTGTATAAATTAAATGGTCACTTCACCTGTTTATTGTATCTTCTATACCAAACATATGAAATGTACTATCCTAAAATGAAGATAATGTTGAAGTTATATCAAATTCCTGATGTATGTGATTATTTATACACTACTTTATAAAGATAATATCTGCTCTTTACGAAATTCATGATAAATGTGATGTGCTTTTAGACAATAAACCTGTACTCCGAAATGTCAATTTTGATGACAGATTTAACATTTATATTATGCTTCAAATTACTAACATCTCAGCCAAAGCTTTCCAGTTGTTTGAATAATGTGGTCTTATTTTTTAAATGTTACCTCGACTAGACTGTATTTGCACATTGTTGAACATTATATGAACGTTTTCAGAATAAATACAATAATGTGGTGTGTGCTACTGATGTCGACAGATATAAGTCATATGTGTCACCAATAGAAAGTAAAATGCCTGGCGGGAGAAGGTTGAGAAAATTGAGGGGAGGAGAACGAGGACAAAGAGTAATTGGTATGGAAACGAAGGAACAACGAAGTCTGAAACACTTGATGGATATTTCATAAATGAAGTATTACTGTATGATTCTCAGATTTTATCAGGTTATTCTGTAATGTTGTATTAAAACATTTAGTTATCACCACCTTTGTTCTAGTTCATTGTAATACTTGTAGTGTCAGTTATTATGCCAAGCCCATATACCTTATTCGAGCTTTCGGACATCCCATTCTATTCATTTTACTTGAGCCATACATTGACCTTATTATTTATTCGCTTATCAATTTAGACTGTTTTTATATGAGCGTATATGTGTGTGCCCTTCTTATCCCATTAATCACATGTCTGTAGCTTTATTTTGTCTGACTATAAATTTGAGTAACGCTTGACTAAAATGGAGTTGGCTTCCCAGCCATCTTCCATACGTGTCAAAATTGCTTTGCTATGGCTCTCGCTCGCTTGCTTGCCTTTCAGCACAACTCTTCTATGCTTGTTTAACGCATCTGTACATTTGGATATATGTGTGTGGTCTCGTAATAAACGTAATCAACACTTCGTATTTGTCTTCTGATTAATATACCGTTGGGACGTTATATAGAACGCTTATCAAGACGAGCTGTATACGAAGTTTAAAGGTTATATCGAATACCGACCACCACATACTACTACTACTACTATTGTTGTCATTATCAACCCAAAATATGAAAAATAATTGAATTATCAAACTTTTAGAAGAAAAAGAACACTGAAGTTCTCCAAGATGAATGATTTGATCATAAATTATAATAAATCAGTATTAAGTATTTTAAAAATAATTATGTACTGGTGATGTTGTCTAGGAAAGTAATGTGAATTTCACAATAAAACTGTGTTGAGATGGTGGAGAAGATTTGCAGCTAAGGTGGATGATTTCGATGAAGTTTTGTTGTCTGAGCTGGATGGTTTGGTCGTAGAGCTTTCAGGTCGAAGTTTGTGCTGATGATGTCGTTCAGAAGAATGATGAATGCTCCACGACCAAACCATCCAGCTCAGAGAATAAAACTCCATCATAAAACTGTATTGATTAGAGTACACAATAACATCTACAAAAAATAAGCATGAATTGTAATCAGTTGAACAACAATAGATAAGCTCATGAATAAAACTATCTACGTTACCATTTATTTACAACTTTTATCAATAAAGATTACATTTCTCGATTCGACTTAAAGAGTCCGTTTGGAAATCAAAAAATAAACGGTACGTGAAATATAGTTTTAAGAGTTTATGTTTGATTATAAGAATAAGAATAAAACCATCCATCGAATAAACTAAAGTATAAATTATGCATCTAACCAAATTGATTATGTCTGTGTAGAAAAGAATCGTGAAACTAATTGCCTGAAAACATGTGTCGGTATTTAGAAGTAAAACAGCTACAATGTAATCAATATTATGAGTTGATTTAAGTTCGACGAGCAGTGAAAACCAACAAAACCTGGACGACTGTTATATCTTTGTATGGGATTTCTCAACAGTGCCCATCTATGACACCTGCAGAAGGCAGAGAAGGATGGTTAGTCAATATCATGAGTTAGTTAAAGTTTAGCATATATATCACTTGAATTAGGCTCCAAGTTCTAAAGGTTGAAAGCTCTCTGCAAGACCTGAATGTTTCAGACTCGATCCCCAGCGGGTTTTGTAGTTGGGCACTCTCCAGGAGGGTCCCATATTAGGACGAAAAGTTGTTCAATGCTTTCTGATTTTCAATGAACCTAACTTAGACTGGTTTCTGATACCAATAACATTCAATAATCCCCACAAACGGTTACAATTATAATTGCAGCGTTAATTGTTTCAGAAATCATGGAGCAAGGGCATTATTTTTTGAACCAGTTCGAAGGATTTAATCATAAGTTTAAAAGCTACTATCAAAATCTATCACTTTGATCTACTTATACAGAAGAAATGAGTCGTAGAAATCTTTTTCTACCATCGTAACAATAGTTCTCATCGAATAATGTTAATTGTTACTTAAGCTTAACCTTTTTATACATTTATTGATATTCATTCACTAGACTAATTTCGTCCTAATTATGTTGATTGGTTGTAAAGTCGCTTATTTTCATTATGAGTACTATGAATTGTGTCCCAGTTTACATACCTAAGTTTCTATTTACAAATACTCATCATTCGTAACTATTATGTTTAATATACTGTGTTGTGACTTTACTGTTTTCTTATGATTTACTGTACAGTTTTAAATATCTATTCCATTTTCATCACTTTTGTAATTTACATTATTAACTCAGTGTAACTAGGCCGATTCACAAAGGGAATTATGGAATTTCTGGTGTGAGACTGTGACCAGTGAAGTGTGAGGTGATTCCCTACTAATAGAATTAGATGATAGTTGTAAAACATCTCAAACTAATTGAAGTCAGAAATGCATTTCAACTCACTGATCTGGAATTTAAAGGTTCACTTCAAGATCTTAAGGTCCTAAGTTTGATCCCTAGTGGGGTTGAGAAGGTGCACACCTAAGAATTTCAATACCAAGATGAAACAACTGTCTAATTCTTATTTCTGAACGGCGGCCTGCTCGAGCATCTGGGCTACCTGTTCCTGCCATCTAGATATTTCAACAAGTTATCTATTTTTGTTTGTTTTAAAATATCATTATGTTTATTAATCGCATAACCTATTCTGCTGTGTTTCTGAAAAGTGTACAACCTTTCGTTGTCAAAGTTACAAAAAACTCAACAAGAGACAATGTGGTCGCTGGCAATATACAGCGAAAAGAATGTACATTATTCAGATGTTCATTTATTGAACTGCTAACATCTAACTGGCGATCACTCAATATTTATCGCCAGGACCGATCAAGAAGGAAACGGAAACTTGTTGAAATACTTTGTGCTGATAATTCTATATTGTACCAAAAATATAATATTGAATAAAGCTGATGATAATAATAATAATACAGTTAATCCCTATCACTTCAGACGGCTTGCAGTCAGCTCGTGAGGAACTTAATAATAATGATAAATATATTCTATTCTTTGTATCATATTATCCTTGTAATTGTCCAAAGTACAAAAAATATCAAATATAAAATATTACGACAAGACTATGATCTATGAACGAACCAATCAGATTTAGGTTAACAGATCTTGGATTTTGGCGCGAAATTCATTCATTCATTCATTCATTTAGTTAAATAGAGTTTTGGGCATTATTGTTGACGTCAATTCGTGATGGAAAGTCATAAATCTAATTCCCAACCCTAACGATCAACTATAAATCATAATCTTTATTCTTCAAACTGCTTTATAACCGCCACTTAGCCTCAGGGAAGTAGGTAGACACTCTAAAAGTTACTTTAGCGTTGCTCAAATGTCATCCATAAATTATAATCTCATCTATATTACTATTACAAATAAGTAGTATTACTATAAATCAACAAAATTATTATTTAAACTTACCATATATTGGAATTACAATGATATTGATTAAAATAACGAATAATAAACCTCTATAAATCCATTTCAATAACATTGAACAATGACTCTCAACCATTTCGTACACTGTTATTATTATTATTATTATTATTATATTGTTATGATTACTGTTGTTGATGTTGTTATCGTTGTTTTATATTAAAGTAATAAACAACACAATACTTGTTCTCCTTTATTTATTTGTTTGTTTGTTTATTGTGCTGTGTCGTGCTGTGCTGTGCTGTGCTGTGTTGTATTCTGTTTTCTATAATTGTGTATTATTTTCAATGTTGTTTAAATTTGTAACCAATATAAATATGTATTAAGCCAATTACCATTAATTGATTAATTCATTAATTAATTACAAATTCTTATCATTAATTTAATTGTTTATTTATTAAGAATCAATTAGAAAAGGAATATAGAAATCAACGTTATCATGATAGATACCATTGTGTTTTTTTTCCACAAAAAAAAATAATTAAATAATTAAATAACCCGCCAAAATTCAAATACTTTTATTGATGTATATGTTTGTTTTAAATTGACCAAAGAAGAATAATTTGAATTTTTTTTTAAATATTCCAATTCATTAAGATTAATTCTATGTTAATTGAAATTTTCTACAATAGTAGATTGAATAGAAACTAAATTTGTATTGGTTAATGATAGATATAACTAGAGTTTATATGTCTGTATATTTTTCACTGTGTTTAGTGTTTGGAACTTTGAAGCATTGAACAATTATAATTAGTGTTAACATGTGGTTTGGATTGATCCTTTTGGTTGTGACTAGTATTATGTTTGTTTAGTTTTATAGTATGAAATGAATCTTACCAATGAAGTTGTAATAGGTATATTCATATGAGTAATTCAATATTGTGTATATGATGTATTGACGTTAGATGGTCAAATATGATTGGGATAAAATCATAGATTTAGGTATCATGATAGTTAAAAAAGAATAATCTATAATCTTAAACCAACTGATAATTTTTTTTGTCGGATTTGAAGTGGTATCACTCAACCTCACGTGAATAGTATTTTCAGTAGATATTGTCATTTCATTCCATTTGTATTTGTTTGATCGTCGTTGTCTCTGAAGGATTGCTGACATCCAGTGATAACATCATGTTAGTAATGCAGAGGTTCGGCATCGTGTGTTCGGGTGCAGAGACGATAATCCAATTGGTGTCACCATCGTGAAACATCGACTTCGGTGGCTTGGACATGTTCTACGAATGTCGTCCAAGAGAATTCCACGTCGTGCATTATTTGCCGACTCTGGGACTGGTTGGAAGAAGCGGAAAGGTGGTCACTGCATGACATGGTGTCGTGGTATGAAAGAAAGCTGCAAAGGGCTGGCTTCTGTTGGTCCTTCACGACTCTCTGGCTGGGGTCCTCGAGATGATGCAACATAGTGGCTAGAGACGTTACCAGATATAGCTCAGAATAGAAGCCAGTGGCGATCCTGTGGTACCTTTTTTTTACCTTCTTCACAAAAAGTGGTTGTAACTTCCCTAACTGAAAGAATACTTCTGGTTGTACCTTTCTGTTTCCCCATTATTATTATTATTTATTATTATTACTATTATACGCACCTTACATTCTTTTTCTCTTCCCATTCTCATTATTTTGTGTGGCGCATATATATCTGGTGCCCCATTGTACCAATAATTATGTGTTCAAAAAAATAAATAAACTCAACCTCGCAGTAGTAGATTGTACCGTTGAGATATTTAGTTTGCATACGACTCCCTATTACAGTGTAATATACTCACACACACATATATTACATTATGTATTTCATGACTACAATGATATATTTTCCACATTGTTTTTTTTTGTTTTATTAGCTCGATCAAAGTTTACAATGTTTACGACTTCAATTATTATCACAACAACAATCGGAACATGCACTCATCCATGATTTAATTGAATTCGAATGTGAAGAACAATGGGTTGATGAACAAACACTACAACTGAATGAATTATTGACAATAGATGAAACGATTTTCCAAAATCTATCTAAACAAATAATCCCAATTGACTTGATTGGATCAAATGTGGAACAAGATACTCAAATATTGGCGAATATTAACTGTAGTAATGGTAGTACTAGTTTAATTTTGGATTCAGAATGTGATCATGTAATTCATAATACAAGTAGTTGTGAATTGAAAGAATGCATTTCTAACTCAGTAAATCATGGTGATCATGAAGATGATGATGATAATATTGCGGATGACCATGACTATGACTTAGAGGTGCGAATCACTTTTGCAAAAGTAGATTAATTTAGTTTTGATAATGTTTATGTGTTTCAGTTGATATTTTGATTATTTGGTTGTTATTCTGCTCTCTGTAAGCAAGGTACCATAGCTTACTTGTCGAAAAAGGTACTCAAGAATTGTAGAATAATAAAAAAGTACTATAAGAATAATAATGATCATTATTGTCGTTAATATTATTATTAATACTATTATTATTTGTATTAATATTTGTTGTTGCTGTTGTAAATCTAGCTTTATATGTAGCAGACATGATCAGTAGCATTCGTCCATTACTAAGGCTGAACAAACATAACACTGTTCACTACTGATTGACGAAGTTATTGTAAATACTTTATTATTTCCCGCCTGAATGGCTCAGTATTAATTCTTTAGTCTATAAGGTTGGTTGACACCTTTTTGAATCCCATATAGTACACCAGTTCCCTCACTATTGTAGGTACGCTTTTGTAATGTATTTCAGCTAGCACGAAACTTCAGTTATACAAGGTTTTCTTCATATTACACTAAACCGTTTAACATCTAAAGATAGTACACACAATGTTATGTCTCTCAGACTAGTAGCCAATTTCCAATCTAATCTATAGAATAATATGGTAATGACCACTACTACTCAATGATGAATCATTGTGTATATAGGTTAGTTTACAATACAATTATGACTTAATTACATAGAATCAACTAAATGGGGAATTAATTAAAAAAATAATAAATACTGTTCCTTCTATGGTTGAGATCATGAGTGAATTGAGGCTAGACGACCATAGAAAACGTGGAAGCGCTGAAAAGCCGTTTCTTCCTAGTGTGGGACTTTTCAGCAGTGCTCATCCACTATCCCACCTCGTGAGATTCGATCCCAGGACCACTCAGTCTCACGTGCAAACGCTTAACCTTTAGACCACTGAGTTGGCCGGCAACCAACGTTGTTAATACTGTTCTGTTTCAAAGAATACTTGAAGTTAATAATTGAGTGTAATTAACTTTTGTCTGTGTATCTTTTGTAATTTATTACACTCAAATAAATGTTCTAATTTCGATTCATTTATAAAATTGTAGTTATGTACTTCTAACTGATCTTTGATAAAAGATAAGTAACAGGTGTCCACTACTCCCTATTTCAATCTATAGTCAAGTTGATCTCCAAATTTTATGGTTATTTAATTTAATTGCTAGTCAAAATGGTAATATTCATAACAGAACACTTGTTCAAATTATTTAACAGATAATAAGCTTTAAGATTAGTTTGTTTGCTCGATGTACACTCTCACATGTATAACATTTAAATGTTTCTAACAGGTGTATACTTCATTGACTATAGGGCAATAAGTAGAAATGCTACAATTTACTGAATAGATTATTTGTTATATTGGTTAAAGAACACTCATATAGTTAAACAGTTATTTTGTTTGTTTGTTTTTCTTGGATTGAATTACAGAAACCTTTATCTTTTCCGATTAGTAAAATATTGGTATTTAAATAAAACTGTATAATAACGTTACAGTACTTTCTATCAGTGACAAAGTGTTCCACTAGTTGATCTTGGGTCATTAACAGAATCATTCATCAATTTTAATACAGTACACTGTTATGTAACATTCATTAATTTGACATTAGATAGTTGGATAAAATAGGATACAGATTTCGTATCGACTGGTAGTTAAAACGTAGGCATATATTCACTAATGATGTGTAGTGTGGCGTCGATTCGCGGTTGACTATGATCACCACTACAGGAAGACTACGTGCCAGTTAACCGATAAGATCCCTCGTAAGCCAAATATCAGAAGGCAGTTGATGGCTGTAGTCGAGATGTATTTGTTGGTGATCTCGTGGTACCGAAAGAATACCGAAACTGTGCCAAAGGAGTACAAGTGTGGTTACTGAGCGTAACCGAATTCGTGCAAGGTCACAATCAACGGAAGGAAGAATGTATGTATTGTGGTACAGTTAAACAAACAAGTATGGTAAAAAAAAAATCCCTGGTACAACTGGTTATAATAATAATTGTTTCCATTAAAGCAATAGCGTTCTCTTGATAAAAGTAGCTTACTACAGATGAAACCTCTTTTTCTTGTTGGATTTGAATCTATGTCGCTCAATATCATAATATTATAAGCTGGAACTGAGGTAACATATCGATAAAGTTCAATAATGAATAGTCTATCATTACAGTCACTTAGATACTATTGTAAAAACAATAATAAATATAATCACATACAAGTTCAAATTCTTATTTAAATGAAATATCGTTAGGTTGTTGCTTTTCTACCATGAAAATGCTTCATCTGGTGACGATTGCATACATAATGATTTATTTCGACGTGGATTGCATTTATTAGAGTTGTAGTAACATTCTAATTTGCAATAATCATCAGTAATTTGAATGCGTAGCCATAACCTAACTGGATTTCGTAATCTGAATTGTAGTCTTCTTTCTTGAGGAATTGAATGATTTTGTGCTAAAACACTATCGTTGGTTCAGTAATAGAATCCAAAAATTACTTACTTACTCCTATTTTCTCTCTTGGAGGAGCACAGGCCATTCACCACCATTCTCCATCCAAATCTATCCTGCACAATACTTTCCACTTTTTCGCAGTTGCAATTCATTTTCCTTATGTCTGCTTTCAATTCCCAACTCAGCGTGTGCTTTGGTCTTCCTCTTTCCCATTTCCCTTCAGAACCCCAACTTAGTGCTTTCCCCGTGATGCAGTATGAGGATTCCTGTAAAATGTGGCTAACGGACACTGAGTACCTCACGTAGACAATTGTTCATAAATACTCGTGCATGTTTGATGATGATTGTAGTAGTTCTATAAGTTTCAGCTCCATACAATAGAACTGTCTTCACGTTCGTAGTGAAGATTGTAACATTAATGTTGGCTTCCAAGCATATGTTCTTCAACTGTAGGAATACTGTTGTTGATGGAGTTTTGTTCTCTGAGTTGGATGGTTTGGTCGTGGAGCTTTCATCGTTCTTCTGAACGACATCATCAGCACAAACTTCAGATAGAATTGAAGTGTTCGAATTTCTCTATATGTGTTTCACAGCTTGTCCTGTACACCTCGACGTTGATTGGTTCTTATTGACCTTAAATTTGTCATACTGTCCTTGATTTGCCGATTCTTGCTTCTACATCTATATCGCATCCACCTTGTTCATCGATGATGCTGCCAATTTACGTGAAAGATCCCACGTCTTCCAGAGCTTCTCCATCAAGTGTGACTGAATTGGTGATCTCCAAATTGTATATCAGGATCTTACTTTTTTCCTTGTTAATGTTGAAGTCTACTGCTACAGAAGCTGCTACCACACTGGCTGTTTTCACCAACTATGAGATCTGATATGATATCACTTATTGATACACACAGAATTATTGCTCCAAACCCCATTCAGAACACAGGAGTAAGATAGTCTACATAAATAAACTTCATATAATCCAACTCAAAATTTCACATGGTTGTATACATGCAGTACAGAACGACAATGAACCATAAGTAAGAATTTACGATACGTGGCTAACTGGGAAATTTATGGTACGAATTCTGAACAACTAGTTTATAATTAACTTACGATAGTATGGCGACAGAAAAAGATATCATAAAAATAATCAGAAAGTTCTAAGAGTACCAAGACAATACGCAAATCAATTTTACCACGCTTGATTAACATAAGTCATATAGTAGACAACACCAAATCACTTTGAGTGATCTATCATACACCCTAAATATAGCACAAACTTTAAGTATCCGAACTTATAACCCTAGTTTATGTGTTCAGAAGAAATTCTTGACAACATTGTCTCTTCCTTGGCCGGAAATTATTTAATGAATGATTTCACTAATTTTTCACACCCGGTATTTGTTTGTCATCCGTCACTTTCTTCTGTTTATTGTTGTCCTAAGCCCCATCAAATATCACGTGAAAAAATGGCCAGTCAGAATACCTCCTTATACGACCTTGGCACCGTGCCAAACCAATGAAGCGTTAACCAGCACGATCAGCCTTTTGTCAACTCTCATTGTTAGTCATCTGTATGGTGGCTTCTCATTTAACCCAAGGCGGTTCAGTCCAGAACACAAATATCGGCCTCCATTATATCAAATGTATTTTTTTCAGCCATACTTAATATATACAAACAGACCATACCGCATCATACCATAAAATGAAAAATAACAATCATACAAGAACAAGCCCGAGATGACTATGAGTGTGAGAGACTGTAACTGATGAATTGAGAATAAGTTAAAAATATTAAATCGTATAACAATGGCCGTTAAGTCAAATGAAAGCCTATGTTACCTATAATTCCATCTTCTTCGAACATAATATTTATATTCCACACTCACTGGTTATTTACACAATTTTTATTATGTAGTTTCCATAATATTTTGTGATTACTGTTTTAAAGTCTGTTTGTTCAAGTCTGACCTATTTCCTAAGTTGAACTATCGACTAGAACCCATGTTATTTTATTATTCTTAACAGCACTAGTAAACCTGTCTACTTACTTTGTATTTTTTACCGATTATTTGTAGTTATGAAATCTATTTATTGTAATCATTGAATATTATCAGGAGGAGTTTTGTGGAGATTTTAGTAATTTTATAGTTGAATTCATGAGTCAGTTGAGGCTAAATCACCATGGAAAACCTGTAAGCACTTGATGACCGTCTCGTCCTATTGTGGGACTCTTCAGCAGCTCACACTCACGATCCCACCTCGCAAGATTCGAACCCAGGACCTATCAGCCTCGCTAACGAACACCTAACTTCTAGACCACTGGGCCGGTATCCAACGGTGTTAATGTCAAACTTCAACTAATCCACGAAATTGAGCGACACATCCACCATTGTGTTCAGTGAGTTACTATATCACAACAGACCCGGTTGAACTCCACTGGTCGCTGCTTCCCACCAGAACTCAAGGAAATACCTCTTGTTGTGAGATAGTAACCCACTAAGGACAATAGTGAACGGTGGCTCAATTTCGTGGATTGTTTGAG